AACGTAGTGGTAGGCCATGTTCTAGTGTGACTCCAGAAAAAATTGCTAAAGTTTAGCGGCTAATTGAAGAAGATTCTCGCTGCACATATGCGACTATAGAGGCAACTCTTGTTGTAGGATCCGCAACAGTACACACCATTTTGAATGATCATCTTCATTTAAAAAAATTTGTTGCGTGCAATCCACGACAATGCCTCTAGCCACACTGCTCAACTAACTGTAGACTTTTTACGCCAGCGCCTCATCAAAATGCTGGAACATCCACCTTATTCGCCAGTTTTGGCAATATGTGACTTCTGGCTCTTCAAAAATCTGAAAAAAATCTGCGTTGTCGAAAATTTCCATCCGAGGAGGAAATCGAACAAGCAATTAATCAGTGTGTTGAAGACATTCCAAGAACTGACTAGTTAGAAGCATTTCATTTGTGGAAGGTCAGGCTACACAAGTGCATTGATGCTGGAGGAGAATACTTTGAACATAAATAAACTAGTTTTCGAAAAATAGTTTTTAGTTTTCGTATATCTCAAAATATATAGCGTGGCGTACGTCACGAAAAAGCATGTCATTCATTTCCGTCGGTCTGTCTGTCAGCTAATCTTATAACCGCGTATAACTTGAGAAGTACCACTCGGATTTTGATGAAATATTTCCACTACTATGCCAAGGACGCAAAAGCTTTAAGGCTTTTGAAAATCGGTCGAGTGGCGGCAAAGGAAAAGGAATACTACGGAAAAAAATTAAATTTGCCCAAACTTCGTTTTTTAAAGTTTCAGAGGATCGTGATCATATTTGAAAAAAATTTAGAGGTAAAAAAACTAGGGGATGAGGGTTGTAAGTGGACGGAGAGAGCTTCTCTCAAATTTTTGATGCTGTTACATTTATACGCTCTCAACATTGATAATTCTACGCACCTAATAGATATTTCAAACATCATAGATTTCCCTGTACATTAGTCATGCAAACTCATGAGATAGATCGCATACCTATCGGCTGCTGCTGACATTGTACGCTGACAGTGTAAAGTGTTCTAGTATGGAATCACACGTATTTCTGCCACAGAACAACATACGGGCCACGCTACAACGGTGCCATGTCTGCTCAAGTTAAGTATCGGGGAGAGGCGACGTTTCCAGATGCATCACCGGTAGGGCAGGGGAATAATGCCTATGGACTAATTCTATCTCTCCGGAGTGAGCGGGCAGGTCTGGTACACGGACGGCTCGGTCACCGAAGAGGGCTCAGGTGCTGGGGTCTCTGGGCCTAGAACTAGGCTATCTCTGTCTCTCGGTGGATACACCACCATTTTCCAGGCGGAAATCTTTGCGATTCTGGCTTGTGTATCTCACATTCTGGAGGAGGGTGGGCCTAGGAGAAGAATAACAATCTTATCCGTCAGCCAGGCTGCAATGAAAGCACTAAGTGCCTGTAAGATTACTTCGAGTCTTGTATTGCAATGCAGGGAGGCATCCGGTATCGTTAATATGGGTACCGGGGCACGCTGGGATAAGGGGCAATGAGACGGCGGACACTCTGGCGAAGACAGGATCAGCCAGCAAGCTCGTTGGTCCCGAGCCAGCTCTAGGAGTGACCGCGCATAAAGCTAGGAGGAAAATGGAGCTGTGGGTTGCAAGACAACACTCTCAGAAATGGAGAAGTATCTCCAGACATCTCCGCCAGGCACGAGAACTCATTGAAGGGCCCAGTGCTAGGGATGGACGCTTCTGCCTATCTCTGGATAGAGCCAACCTAAGGTTGCTGGTGGGACTGTTGTCTGGCCATAACACGTTAAGGAGTCACCTGGCACACGTTTTGTGTCGCTGTGAAGCTCTGAGCTACTATAGGCAGACTATACTGGGGTCCATTACTTTTGACCCTCGGGACGTCAAGGAGCTTGGACTCAAGGCGATTCTCAACTACGCTAAAAGGGCGAGGCTTGTGATCTAAGGATTTTAGAGGTGCATAAGGGCCCGCATAAGCGGCCTATGCACTGGCTCCTTATGGTGGCCGGAATGCCTCTAATTTCAAGATTCATTCATTCAATTCTATAGACCTGTTTGACTGATTTTTTTCTCAGAGGGTCTAGTTTGTGCTAAACATATGTACTGATAAGGGCGTTGCGTGGGAAGTACAGAGTCAACCTACTTGACGCCTTTCTTCAACCATGGTATTAATAAACCTACTTCTAACATAGATCCGATAATGATTTGTTTTGAAGAAAATTGTTGGATTTTCACGTGCACCGAGGTTACACTGGAAAACTAGACCAAACCGAATAAGAAAAATGAGTCAATAAAATCCAAATCCCTGAAATGAAAATTTAACGAATTTATTGTAGATATGACGATCTAAATGACCACACCAGCTTGCCGTTTCTTTAAAGTGATTAAATTTCAACAAATTCGACAAAATTGGCTAAGAATCTATTACTTTATTAACACCCTGTGTAAACAAAATATTTCACTGCACAGGGTATCGCACAAAAAACTGCGATAGATTTTGAAAAAATGTGAACATAAGATAGTTATGAAAATTTGGTTTTATGGTATAAGTGATGGGAGCAGCTCGGTTAAAATATGTTTAATGCGGTGGTACGTCAGGTCGTACCAGAACGAGATACCAGCTTGCTTCTTTTATAGAGAATGTTGTATATTATTCATATTTTTGATTCTTCACGAGATACATTTTATGTATATCACCTTATACCTAAGTCAAACCGTTTTTAATAGGTACCTCAAATTTTGCGTAAAAAATGAAAATTGTAAGTCGGGGAATTATAACACTTCTTCTCGTATTTTTACCTTTGCCATCTGATATATCACATAGTAGGGGATCCCCTATTATACGAAGCCCATTACAGTGGATCTTCTGTAGCATTCGAATGATAAATAATAGCGAGTAGTGAGAAAAATGGGAAAGAAGATTATGTCAAAACACCCAAAAAGTCGTATGTTTAATGGAAACTACCTTTTTTATAACGTCATCGCATTAAGCATTGAAAATAAGGTCTATTTTGTATGAGGTTGCTTACCCTAAAAAATAATAGAATCCCAGATATATGCAAATATTGTTTTTTTTTATTGCTTAAATGCTCCATTTTCGATGATGGTTTCACCGTGAGATGGCCATGGCGGAATTCGGACCGCCTGTCCCAGCGTCAAATTATAAGAAAAGGTGGTTTCTACTTGAAAAAATGTACTTTCCGAGTTTTTTTAATCTGATTTTCTTTCTTTTTTTGACCACTATGCACTATTTGTTATCAGCATCCGGAATAAAATCTAGTACGCCCCCTACTATATGAAACATTCACACAAACTCCACAAACTGCCCGATACTGGTAAGCGTAAATATCTGAGAGAAAAACTACTTTTCTCTACTGGAGTTTGCAACAAAGCTCTCAGATATATAATGAATACTAGAGTTTCCCATCATTGCACCTCCTTTTCCAACGTTCTTCCTCGTAAAGTGCTGAAAATTTTTATTATAGTATTATAGCTATAAAGACACGACGTTGCCCTGTTCCCGTAAGTACGTCAAATCATACTTAATGAGCTCCACCCTACGACTATTATCTTAAGTGCTTATTTTTGTTATTCTTGACGTGAACAATATTTCAGTACCATGGTTGTAAGATATTAGGCTTTTGGATGCGCAAAATTTGAATGTTTAATTCATTTGTATCACTTTTGATGAATAAAACTGTGATTGGTAAGTATATTATTGTTTGTATCTGTAACGTCTCTACTTTATATTCATATTGTTCAGTGTATGAATAGCTTTATCCAAACATCGCCATAATGAATCACTCATTACAAATTTATGAGTAAAGACATTATTATTATTATTATACCGACCAAAAAATCATTATACAAAATACAAAATTCGTGGCACAGTGGTTTCTCAGCCACATAAATCTATACTGCAACGGTCATATCAGATAAAGAATGCACACGTCGTATGGTAAAAAAATAACAGACTTGCACTATTGCAGGAACGAAGAGTGGTTACAAGTATTGAACAAAATCTGTCTGTGCCTCGATATAATTCTAATCTTTATAGGAAAAATAATAGAGCTGTATCGAAAAAAAGAAGTAAAAAGCAAATATTTCTTAATGGGCTTGTTTGCCATACAATTCAATTTGTTGGAATCATGGGCTTGTACCACATAGTTATGTTACCAACAGGATTCCATAACTTATCTCTATTTAGCGCCAAAACTTCATGAGATTTATACCTATGTATAGATTTAAAAGATAAATTTCGGCAATTATTTCAAAAGGAATTTGAAAAATTGGCTACATCCTATATCTAGGACTGAAATTCATAAACTCATAAATACGAACCTCAAGTGAATACATAATCTACTGTGATAATTTTTGCCCTTTTTTGTAATTTGTATTCTATAGTTGTAACTTAAAATTATTGGACCATGTACAGCCAATGCCTCCTATTGGGCCTGTTTTTATTCTATATTTATTTACTCTGTCGTTTGTTCTCTTTGTACATTGAGTGAATAAATATTATTATTATTATTATGGAAAGGAAAAGAAAAGTAAAATAGGTAGCTTGGGCTCTGACACACCAGGCTGCTGTTCCATTACCAACTAGCGGCTCCTGACACCTTGAGGTAAGCAACTAGTAGGTCCTCAAATCGTGTACCCTAAGTTGACGGGGGAACCGAGGATGTCTCCTTTCTGCACTCTTCCGACTAAGAAGATTGCCGATGCTCGGCATTATTATTATTTTTATCATAATATGGTGAAGGTAAAAATATGAGTAGTTGCTATAATAAATATTTGAGGTATCTCAAAAACGGTATAGGATGATATACCTGGAATATATTTAGAATCTCGCATAGATTAAAAAAATGGATAGTGTATAGGTTGTACTGTATTTTGTGTCTACTTCCGATATAACCAGAATATCCATAATTTCCAAGATATTTCATCCGAGTTAGCTTTTACTGGCTCTCCTTTTCAGATAAAATGTCCATATTTTTTCAGTGTTTTGTGAGCACTACAGATCGTACAGACTATTTGCGAGGACAGTAACAGATCCACACAGGTACCTTGCCTCAAGGTGCTCAAGTTACGCCAAATATTTGACAGGAGCATGTTCTTTTAATGATAGAGTCTTTCTTGGAATGGATGTTGATAGACGGTAAGGAATAAACGGGAAATAAACAGAAAGGCTAGAGTCTTGTTTACCTATTTATTGGTTGCAGTGCCAGGGGGAATTACTACATATACACAGGCTTGGATGCGAACAGCTAGGAGGAAAACATAACATGTATTTTGTACCTAATCAGTATAACATAATTTATTTTGAATAAATTTGTTTCTTAACTAATGGGATTCTGTTTCCGCCTTGCCATTGAAAACACTGAGGTATAGCCGTATTTTATACATCTAGACTACAATGTTTGGTAAGAATCCACCCAACGCCCATCAGAACGAGAAAATAAGCTTTAGCAGCCAGGATAGAAAAGGATAGAAAATTTGCTCTACAATACTAGATATCCATATCTAGAATGCAGCTTGACTCTACACGATTTTGCATTATTGAGGATACAACCTGCACCATATTTTCGTATGGCGATTTTTCTCTAAACGATGTTATGTTTTCAGTATGTTTAGTAAGGTCTTGCAACAAAATCGTTGTAACAGAATGTTTCTTTTTACGATGATGTGTCACAGTTACGCCTATCTATATCACAGCTTCTGTTACAGCGACTAACAGCAAAACAAAAAATACAAAATCTTCGATTTATGTCCACTTTCTTTTTTTGAGTACAACATTGATTCCATTAACTGAAGTCAAGACTACTTCAGCGGCCAAAATAGGTTCTTTTAGTTCATGTGGTGCAAGAATTTCGAAGTGCCTCAGTATTCTGGATATCGTTGACTTCATTTCGAGTAAGGCAAACTTTTGTCCTGGAAATAAAAAGATTCTCATTCACGATAATCATCTGAGATACCAGTCCTGTAAATTAAGTGATGAGACTGATTTTCTAATTTTTCTTTTCAAATATAATTGTAATTTTAAATTTTCATCCTCAAAATAAGTTTCTTCTGAAGCCACACAATGCTGGAGACGGTTCTTCTACTTCTCATAATAGTGCTGGAAGTCCAACACCGGAATAGCCTTCAGCTTCATATTATCATGATTCCCGATCATTCTGACTATCAACCGACTATTTGAACGCATTTTGTCGATATTTTAATCGGTTCTTGAAGATGAAGGCCTTCCGCTTCGTGATACATCTTCAATTGACTTGCACTGTGCCCAAGTCTGACGCAAAACCTAATAACACACCGTTACTCGAAATCCATGCCATTCGTTTTTAGAACACAATAGGAAAAATTGTTTCACGCTACGGACAACCAAATCACTCGAGCGTGTTCAAACTTGTACCGCAGGAGCATTACATGCTCACCTGTCTCCCGGCGCCACCAGTGTTGCCAGATCGAACGCTACATTTCAGTCTCATCACATAATTTACACTTTTGAATGCCAATATACAAACAAAAGTTATCGAATGCACTCAGTTGTTCAAACACACATTATAACATCAACTGGGTTTTTTCAAATTTCTGATCTGATTTAATCAGAGAACAACGACCAACTGTTAACATCAAATCATCTTTTGGTGTAAATTGGTCCAACTCTGTGAAGCGCGTACCAGTTGGTACTTGGGGATTCCTTTCCAATAAGACCGAAAAATTAAGACAAATAACATACTTATAAGAAATATTTCGAAATGTCCCCCTCAGCTGCTTCTACAAATGATCAACATTAGAGTAAAATTTGAGAAATATTTTGCTCTAGATCATATTTACCGATTGGCTGACTATTTGAATACACTTAGGAAGTTGGGACTTCCCTTTACAGAGCGCATATGTCAGGCAACAATAAGCAGGTTTCTTAATAACATATACAAGGTGATTCACAAGTAGTGATCAAAAATAAAATGTTATACACAAGGGCGCATTTTACGGGGGGGGGGGGGGTCTTCTATGTAACATTTTTCCTCGAGCGCTTCCTAAAGAAGATACAGATAGTTAAAAAATAAAAAACATTTTTTTAATATCTCCAAAAGACTGGCGGAGATACAGAGGATTAGGGGATTAGGGGCATCAGTTTTCTAAATAATTTTACCTTCAATTTGCTACAAATAACTACTCTTGTGTTATTCCCTAGAGTGCAATGTTTTCGTAAAAATAAAAATAAAACAAATTAGATCATTCATGAATAGCCGAGATACAATTAGTTTCAAAATTATTAAAATAGGAAAATTATACCAACTTGATGTTTCTTGGGAGATATTTTGTCAAAGCTATCTTTACTACTACCATTTGTTTTGCAAAAGTCAAGTCAAAAGTTTCTTTTTTCCATTTTTGAGTGTTGTGAAATGGAATTTAGCAATCATGAGTACTCCGATATTATTTTGGTGTAAGTGTTCTGTAATGGAAATGCTTTACCGACTTTTCGGGAGTATCAGCCTAGATTTCCCAACAGACGCCAACCTATCCCAAAGGTTTTTACGCGTTCATTTCTAAGACAATATGGAATTGCCAAGCTTCCCGGAGTTAGAGGCCATGCTGTACGGCATACTGGTCAAGAGGAACTGGAAGTGATTAATTTGGCATTGGATGATCGTAGTACAAGTACTAGGCGAATTGCAGCCCAGTTACCATGTTCCCAAAGTCTTGCGTGGACATTTTTAAGTCGGGAAGTTTTACATCTTTACCATAGGCAAAATGTGCAATGTCTGCAACCCGGCGACGAAGTTCAACGGCGAAATTTTCGTGAGTGGTTTTAATTCCCACAATGAATATATTTGGAGTCAGAAAAGCCCCGTTCAGTAGGAATCCACTCGTTTCAACACAAATTTTTTTGAAATGTCTTGTGCGGCATTTTCAATGGCATCTGCTTATGCACCTATTGCCACAACATTTAAATGCAAACTCATATTTAGCTTTTCTGAAGAATTACATAGAAAATGATGTTCCGTTAGCAACAAGAGTACGAATGTGGTATCATCACGACGGTGTCCCACCATATGTTCATATAACCGCATGGTTAATAATCAGTTTAGACAACGATGGATTGGCTTGCAAAGTCTCCTGATTTTAACCCGCTGGATTTCTTTCTGTGGAGCGCTTTTAAACAACTAGCTTACAAGAAAGAATAGATAATGCAGATAATGCATTTCATCAAATTCAAGCTGCAACAAATGTTGCGGAAGTACGGTTTTCTTTATTAAAGATATGCCGCACTTGTATCCGTCAGAATGGTGATCTTTTTGAACATTTATTGAAATAAAGCTTTTAGTATCTAATTTGGTTTTTTTTATTTGTACGAAAACAATGCAGTCTAGAAAAAACACAAGAGTAATTATTTTTAGCAAATTAAAGGTAAAATTTAAAATATTGCGCGTTTCGAAAAAAAACAGTGGCGTACTATTTTTATTTGGAAGAATAATGCCACTAGTCCCCTGTATCTCCGCCACTGGTACACGCTTATCTCATGTAAAGACTTTTAAATTGACATAAAAAAATTTAGTTCATTCCAGTTGACGGTTTTGAAGATATTAAAAAAAATGTTTTTTATTTTTAAACTTAAACACCTTTCCTTTTAATGAAGCCCTCGAGGAAAAAATGTTACATGGAAGAAAATGTGTCCCTGTGTATGATGTTTCATTTTTGGTCACGGCTTGTGAATCACTCTGTATAACAGAGCTTTAAGATAACATGGTTATTAGTTTAGAAAAAGCTATAAATGGACCAGTATAACCCTGCCACGCTCACCTCCCACAATCCCCAACTACGTCAAAACGTATGATGTACCAAGACTATGTGAGTTATTGTTTATCCAAGTAAGGCGTCTCATGGTGTCTAGGTTACTCTAGCTTATCAACAAACCTCATTTGAAAAACCGAAATTGACATATTCCTAGAGCAATAATATAGTTATCGATTTGGCATGAGCATCTTCAAGATTCTATCGATACTCCACGAATGTTCTCAGAAGATCGCCGCCGTCCTCGATGTTTTTTTCATCAAAGCTGCATGCGTTTGTTTATATCGAGAAAAGCCGTCTTTGACCACAGTTGAAGACCTAGACAGCCCCAAATATTGCAAATCTAGAAAGAAGTAAACAAACTCGTATTTTTTATTTGAACAGCTACAACTTCAAGCAGTGTTTACAAGCTAAACATGTGACAGGGCAGTACTTCAAATTCCTTACCAAATGAATAGACAGCTTTTTTCTTCAATTTATTTTTTACGTATTCGGTGTTGTTTTGCCTCAAATTAACTTAGGTCCCAACTTTCCGGACACCCTTTATCTGACCTCGCAAACCAGCGGGCATTCCAAAGTTTCACTCACCGCACCACATGTACTGTATATTGTAAAGGCGCACGTTTAATTATCCAATTGGGGATACGAGTAGTTAAATATTTGTAATAACTCAGCGATCGATGACATTCACGAACCCACCCTCGTAATATTCACGAAAGAAAATGAGAATAAAGTTTTGTAGTTTGTTTCCCCAGTTATGATGGTTCCTCTGTTGTATACACGTGCATCTAAGACACATCGTTAGAAAATGGTGCTAAGTATAAATCTCGAAGTACCTTTTCGGACACTCTTTACAAATTCAACCTACCTATACAGTTTCTTGGACCAGCACTAAATGGTAGATATGCAAATGGTTTGGTAATTTCATTGGATTCAAATCGGCTGGGATCAAACTTTCCTGGATCCTTGAAGTATTTTGGATTTCTGTGTGCTCCATACGTAAATAATATCATCGTCGTACCTTTTGGAATCGTTTTCCCATCTGTGAAAATAAATTACGTTTCAATAAGAACAACAACGGCTTTGATGAAAATCTCGTTCTTTTCGACCTGCTTTTTCCAATATGTCAGTGTTTATTCCTTTGAGCACTCCTCCAAAATGTTCGCCGATTTTATGACAGCTAGCTTCTCACCCTAACTATATCGAACAATTTTTATCAAGAACTGGCCAGTACGATTGGTTCTTTTTTTCTTGGATTTTTTATACCAAAGCAACGGCGTGGCCAATAGCTTAAATACCAGGGCATAGCGGCTGCTATAAGGAGCTTCTAGAAACTTTGTTATTCCAGTTTTTGAACTGGCTAAGGGAAAGGGAAAAATCTTCTCAGCTAGGGACAAGGGGCCGGTCGTATCGAACCGTTCTGGGTGTAGGAAGTTCGACACAGTTAGGATGGGAGACCGAAGTCAGGCGGATCTGTCTGGCAGTACCATCAGCCGGAGGGCATTATGGAGGAGAGTCCTGAGGAATAAAGCCCGTTGATATAGCGGTAGAAGAAAGCTAGATCGCTGACGGCCTGTCGGTGCGAAACGGTCACGAGAACAGTCCTCCACCGAACAGCATGGAAAATGTAGTCGGGACGGCAGAATCTCAAACATGTGAGCAGTACTCGATGCTATTATCTTGGCCTTATATAGAATGAGGAGGTTGAGTGGAGAAAGGTACTTCTTAGCCCTAAATAAATAGCTTATCTTTTCCCAGCATCTGTTGCTATTGACGAGATGCGTTCGGATCAGATGAAGTCCTCGGTGATCATTCATCGAAACCGGATGAGCGCTAGGGTACTTCTTGTTAGCCAACGCACAGTACTGTGCTTTGGAAGCATTGAACTGTGCCAGATTGTTGCGTCCCCAAGCGGTAATAACCTCCAGGTCTCTCGTCAGAAAGGAAGTCACTGCTAGCCTTCGTATCTCCAGCTCACCGGCAGAGATGAGCTGGTCATGCTAAAACCCCTGCATGTAGAATGCTATCATGAGCAAAGCTGTTGATCGGATTGATCGTACAGGAAAGAAGTAAGTTGATCGAAGACCGATCTCTGAGGAACACCCGTGAAGAGGGGACCCGTAATAAAGCGTTTGAGGTAGTCCAGAAGGTCGCGATTTATGCACCTCTCCATCACCTTACCTACAACAGAAAGCAGAGCTATAGACCTGTAGCTGTAAGAGTCTGTCTCGGATCCCTTTTTGGGATGGGCAAAACTCCAGTTTTCTAGAAAAGTGCCAGATTCATAACATATCTGGAAGAGACACGAAAGAACTGGAGCAAGCTACACATATCTTCAGTGAACATCAAAAATGTATCTTTTACCAGCTCTGAAGTAGTATCAAGAGACAAAGTATCATTCTCTGGAAGGAAGTGGCTGTATACACAAAAGGAATTTTTGGGCATAAGGCCAGGAGTTATGATAAATTACGTGAGTCATTGAAGGAATTTAACACATTTTCATATTGAAAATTACTCAAAGTGACCTGAAATTTGAGCAAAATGTATCAAAATCCCTCTCAGTGCTAGCATTCCCTAAAGGGAATAGCTCAGCCACTCGTGTTCGGAATACATTTTTGAAATAATCCACGAATATTAGACTGAAGAAGACAAGAAGAAGAACAACTCGGTTTTGGTAACTCTGATAAATAAGATGACCTTAGCAAACAATTTTGTATTGAACAGGTATCGATATTTCCGTTGGTTCAAAATGATATTGAAATATTTCAGGGTGTTGTTTTTCAGGTCATTTTAAGAAGCTGAAGTTTACACCAATAAGTATCTGCAAGCGCTCAATATATTTTCTATAAGGTTTAAATCGGTAAAAAAATATTAATTTTAGTTGTTTTGAACAAGCGGACAAAAAGCAAATGTATTATATCACACACACAAAAGGTATTTGTGAAAACGTCAAAAGAAACGAAAATGCCTTTAACCAAAATACACCAATGCGGATATCCGCTGATGTATACTGACGAATTTAAGTAACAGCTACTAGTATAAACATTCTTTATTTGAGCATCCTAGTCTCAGGCCCGTAAAAACTATTCGTCATTTGTTTGTCTGGGCGGTCCGTAGGACCTTTGCCCATTAGTCACTGTCTGATGTACGTTAGTCGAATCTGTCAGTCCTGGTTGCCCAGAAACCAGACAAAGTCAAGGAAAAAGAGAAAGGGAAAGAGAAGAAAAAAGGAGAAGAGCAAAGAAAAACAGATATGCTTAGTTTAAGAAGAAACACCTAGGCTTTTTGACTTGGTACACGGATTAATTTTGAGGTGAACTAAACAAGTTTTTTTTGATTCGGTTTTGTAAGATTGTAACTTTGAGTTGACTAAAGATTCACGCTAACTTTTGATTACAGTGCGAGCCGTGGCCTTGAATGTTTACTGTCCACTGTGTAGTCCACTGAGTTACGCAACAGAGGGTTGCTGTGCGATTGCCCTTGACTATAACGTCGCTGCGCCTGAAGCTTGACATAATCCCTCAAGTAAGGAATGTAAAGGTCTCTGTGTAGTGTCTCATTTGAGACATACCATGGAGCGTTGCAAATTGTCCGCAAAGTTCTGCTTTGCAGTACTTGCAGACTTTGCATGTGTGTCTTGGCAAGAAAACACCAAGCCGCACATGCATAAGTAATGGCTGGTCTAATAATCATTTTATATAGTCGAACTTTGTTTATCAAACTCAATTTGGAGGATCTACCTAACAAATGATATAGTTGCCGAAACGCAATTTGGAATTTTGTCTTTATGCATGCTGTATGTTTCTGCCAGGTCATGCCTTTATCAAGGGTGACACCGAGATACTTGGCAGGATTTGTCCATGGTACACGATTTCCGTCTACAGAAACCTCTGCTGGGGGGCGCGACGTTTTTTGGTGCAATAAATAGCCTGCGTTTTCGAATGATTAATTTTTATCCGCCACCGTTCCGCCCACTATAGAACTTCGCATTCTGCAACCCATCGTGAACCAGATCACCAGTAAACGACTGGGCGACAAGTGCAGTGTCGTCAGCATAGAGGTAGACTTCACAGTTGCTGGGGGAAGTGACATCATGGATGAAAAGCGAATGAAGAATTGGTCCTAGGACCGAACCCTGAGGAACACCGGCCCGTACTGGCCGTGTTGTTGACAAAACATTGTTAATTTTGATCCGAAACTTCCTTCCTTCATGAAAGGATTTCAGTAATTTTAGAAGCCAAAGAGGAAAACCCTTTTGGATTAGTTTATAGAGGAGGCCCGCGTGCCACACCTTTTCAAAGGCTTTTGAGACATCCAAAAGCAAGATGCCAGTACTCATGCTGAGGGCGAACCCTCTGGTTACATGCCCCACCAGCCTGACTGCCTGTAGCTCGGTGCTATGCTCGGACCGAAAACCGAATTGGACGTCAGGAATCACACGGTGATTTGACGAAAAATTCTCAAGGTGACGATAAATCACCTTTTATAAGGAGCTGACAGCAGACTTATGGAACGGTAATCCTGAGGAAATATCGAACCTACCTTCTTTGGAATCTTGATGAACTCAGCAGTCTTCCAGCCAGCAGGGAAGTACTGGATTTTGAGCGTCGCATTGATTATTGTCACCAAGTATGTCAGGGCTTTCGGCGAGAGCAGCTTCAACGCCTTGTTGGTGATTTGATCCTCCCCAGGTGCTTTACGTACCTTGAGGTCTTTAATATGACTTAGAAGCTCCGCTGGTGTGCAATATGGAAACTCGGAGGGTTCCGCTAATGTGCTATGTGGAGCCTCAGACGAATCTTCTGAAGAAGAGTCATCTGAATCTGATTCAGTGCCTCCGCTAACGCCGTTGGCCCTAAAATATCTCCTGACGGATCGTACGATGTGCTATTCCTCGTCGAAAATCTCGACCTTATCCTCCGTTCTGAAGACTATGCCTTCAGGACCGTGGATGTGTTGGAGTTGTTCTCGCTTTCCGTTTATGAGTGACTTTGCGACCCTCCAGAGAGGAATACTTGAATCAAGCATTCCCGCCAGAAAGTCGCTCCATTGCTCGTTGCGGAGTTCGTGCAGTGCGTTTCTCACTCCATGGACAAGATTTGTAGCCCTACGAATGTCATCAGGATGACAAGACCTTTTTGCCTGCTTAATAGCGGCTCTTTTGTCAGAAATTTTCTGACGAATGTCCGCAGGCAAAAAAGGTCTGCCGTGTCGTTGTACAGGAAATACAGCTGCACGCAGTAGAGCTGCTTGAATAAAACTTGTCCACTCCGCTTGAGCGACATCTATTCCAGACTCATCATCTATAATCGGAATATTGGGAAACTCTCTAAGGAGCAACTTGTATAGGTCCCAATCAATGCGTTTCCTTGGAGGAGCTGCCTCCTCAGAAGTTTGCTCATTGCAAACATCCAAGACAACAGGTAGATGGTCACTAGAGATATCATACAAAATTTGAGAAGAGATACTGTATCTACAGTTTTTAGATATCGCGAAATCGATGACATCTGGTGCCTGAAGATGGTTGAATGTATGATGTGTCGGCTCTTTAGTGCTATGTATAAGGTACCCATTTCGCATCACATGGTTGTACAATCGAACCCCACTAGTGGATTCAACCTAGAATTCCATGCTCGATGTTTGCAGTTGAAGTCCCCTGCCACAATAAGCGGACCCGAGTAGTCCAAAAGGTCCTCCAGATCCACCTCTTGTAGCCTGGCACCACACCTGACTTACACCGATGTGATCTTCAACGAGACACCTCCCGCAATATTGACCACCACAGAAGCTGCTTCGATGCTATGCATCTCCGCATTAGTGCTTCTATAATGGTCTATACCGCGCTTAATCAACACTGCTAAACCGCCGCCTTGACCATTCAATCTGTCACCTCGGATCATAATTCGGGAGAGCTAAACGATCTCCCGGATTAAGTAACGTTTCCTGCAGCAAGGCCACATCTATACCTTCATCCAAAAGAGCTTGATGAAATTCCCGTTTTTTGGAATATCCCTCATGCCCAAACAATTCCAAAAAAGAATTTTGATGAATGCAGGCTGTCTACTATTGTACCTAGGCATTTACAGGAAATATCGCCTGCAACGCTTGGGTAGCGCTAATCAGTGGGCTTATTAATTGTTGTAAGGACCTTAGCGCGGTTGCCAGGTCCACATTTTGCGTGCTCAAGGGAGGTTGGGCAGAGGGGGCAGGCAAGGTTGCCTCCCGAGCTGTGTCCGCGTATGATATATTGCGCCTTTGTGCTATAACTTGGAAGTTCCTCCTTGGAGTGAACATGCAAGTCCGGCTATTTGCGGGATGTCCCTCTCCACAGTTCGCGCACTTGCGTTCTTCCTCTTCTGTTAGGGGGCACAAATGCGTCATGTGGTCCTTTGCACATTTTAAGCATTTGGGCGGTGCAGTGCAATATGACTGCGCATGCCCATACTTTTGGCAGCGGTGACACTGCCCAATGAGTCTGTAGTTCTTCTGAACCTCAACTCGAATGGCCAGTCCCAGCAGTTACTTGTTCGTTGAACACTTGCTGAGACTTTTCCGTCTTGGGCAGTATCACGACCACCAAAGGCATAGGCGCGCCGCCGCTGCGCTTCAATCGAATGATGTGAAGAGGGCTATATCCCCTCTTAGGAATAATCCTTATTCCCGCATCGACGGCAATCGCGTGATCTATTTTAATACCTAGGGAAATAAACTTGAAATTTAAAGTACGGCATCTCGTCCCGTCGCGTAAGACGATCGGAGTTATGCGCCCTTGTCGTGAGGAGAAGTAACATCGGCTGACGGAGTCACCTGTCAGGTAGATAACATGGTCCCTGGCTTGGTAGTATAAGCATTAATAGTGTTTCGATTTGATGAATTGGGGGAGGTGTGAAATAGAATTGATCCTGTATTCGGAAGAGGAAAGTCTTGGGTTGATCGATCAACCTTGTCGCCTTTCGTCCTTCTTGATTTTGCTTTTACAAATCCTTCGGTCTGTACGTCTTCGTCTGTGGATGTGAGATGATCATCAGTAACGTTTCTCAGTGGTCTTCTTAGGGTCTTTGTCCGTTCTTTAGGGGATTCTTTTGAATTTAGTAATATTGTTACCTGGGCGGTCAGGCTGTCAATTTTGGCTGTCTGGTCCTTGATGGTCTCCATTAGGTCTCGAATCTGCCTCGCCTGGTCGTCTATAATCAGCATCAGTTTTTCGATCGTTTTCTGCTCCGATGACATCTGCGTCAGTGAGCTCATGTTTTCTGCTTCTGCTTGGTTTCCGCCACCGCTCAGCTCTTTCCTCATAGTATGTGGAACTGCGTCGTCTGTTGATCCTCCCGGGTCAACTTCCATCTTTTAACAACTTTCTCTCGCCAACAAATCTCAGAAAACTTAAAGCTCGCAAATGTCAGTAAGGTACTTGTATGTACTGCTTTGTCTCAGGCCCGTATCGTCAGTCGTTCCTACAATTGTAGGACGCCTTTATGGCCTTGATTTTGTTATGTTTCTTTTTTTTTTGACGTTTAAGAAATTTTAATTTAAATTGCAAATAATGTTGAGTCAATAGTAACTCCCTACATTGAACAAATTCGTCAAGCTGTGGTATCTTCAAATCCCATATCCGGTATTAAAAAGATGCCTACTATATACAAACCTAAAAATAATCATTCAAGAGGGAAATGGGAGGAAGAAGATCTTAAAAATGAGGCTCAAGCAGTACACAATCAGCAGATGTCCATTTATAAGGTGTCAAAAACGTATGGTGTTCCTTGGTCGACCCTGAAAAGAAGGATTTCTAGTAATTGTTTGAAAAAAAAAGTCTAGGGCCACCTTCTGTTCTGGGAATTGAAAATGAAAAAAGATGGTGTCGCATATTACGAAACTTCAGCGTCACAGGTTTACTCCGACCAGAAACGAAGTCAGAATAATGACATATAAACTAGCGGAACAGCTTCATATAAAACACAATTTCAATAGACAAACTTGCATGGCAGGACTAGACTGCATCTATTTTTTCGTCGAAACCCTCAATTAACCATAAGAAAATCCGAAGGTGTTTCACAATCTCGTTCACTAAACATGAACAAGGAAGCAGTTATGAAATACTTTGACCTATTGCAAGATTTGCTGATAGAACATGACTTACTTGACAAACCTGAAAATTGTTATAATGTTGACGAAACGGGTTTACAACTCAATAGTAAACTCGGCAGTGTTGTGGCTGTAAAAGGATCAACATCTGTAGTAAATATTACTTCTGGGGAAAAAGGAGAGACCATATCATTGATCGCTTGTTGTAACGGTGAAGGGATTTTTCTTCCACCAGCGTGTATTTTTAAAGGGAAAAATGAAAAACCCGAGTACAAAAATGGGATGCCAAATGGATCCACAATATTTATGCCCCAGAAGTCCGCATACGTCAATAATGACATATTTTATTTATGGCTAAAAAAACATTTTTTACCAAGAAAATCTAAAGGAAAAATAATTTTAATCCTCGACGGGCACAGTTCCCACTGTAGCTCAGTCGAAACTCTTGAGTTTGCACAGGCAAACGACATTATACTTTTGTGCCTACCAAGCCATACAACTCATTGGCTACAACCTTTGGATGGTTCCTTTTTTAAGGCATTGAAGTCCCATTATTACAACGCTTGTAATATATATATATGAGAATGAATCCCACCAGAAAAATCAATAGGCTATGTTTTGGCTCTCTACTGAGCGAATCGTGGGGAAAATCTGCTGCACCAGACTATGCATTTTTAAAACTCGATGATATTCATGAAAATGAACCAAGAAACATTGCGAATTCTAATGCACCAGCCCAAATAGATGAAGTGATTTCACCAGAAAGAAGCGTGTCACCACAGCCAGGATGTTCTACATGGGATCTTCCAAGAACTCCACCACGAAGTGGAGGCTTTGTTCAGCAGCCAGAAATTAATCGGGAAATCGCTGAAAACAACAATTCTCAAATAACACCAGGAAAAACGCTTGATCATATTTTACCAATCCCTAGTATGGAAGTCGTAAAAAAATTACAAAAAGGCCGTCATTTTAAACACCACTGATACAATCCAGTCTTTAAAACTAAGAAAAGAACAAGGTCAGAAAACAAAAGAACGGAAAGAAAAATCCCAGAAACTGCGAATGATAAGGCCGTTAAAAAGAAGAAAGTATGAATCTGAAAGTTCTGACGAAACTGAAGGAGAAATACATTTGGATGATGAAGAAGAGGTAAGAAATTTTCTGGAATCCACTTAACAAACAAAACTTCTATTATGTTTAGTAAATACATGCTTTGAATATTTTAGGTCAGTGATGAAAATGAAGCAGTGTGCGTCGGTTGTGAGGAACCTTATTTGTTAACCAAAAAAAGTGTAGACTGGATCCAAATGTATTATATGCAATCGTTGGCTACACGATGACTGCACCTCATTTTTGAATATTTGTGAGCCCTGTGGACGTCTAACGGCTCGCAAAAAGTAAGACTTCCATAAATTGATGTATCACCAACTGACCCCTACCCACATCACCATCTAACTCGTATTATGTTGGGGGAGATGGTGTCACACCCTTTACTTTTAAATGAAAATTATTTTTGTTACATGTCAAAATTTGTTGTCTTTCGATTTAGGATAAGTTTTTTATGTGTATCTCGATGCAATGCGATTATTCGCAATAATTAATATATTTAAGTTTTTCATTTAAAACAGTTTTAATTTTTTATCACCATCTCACCCTGGTTTACCCTAAATAAAAGCCTAACAGCTTACAACCAAGCTGTCCCTTGATGAAGGGATCGTAAGTTAAAAAAATAATCATTGCATATTCATATTATTTATATACTTATCGCATTTTTCTCAAATGTGGTTCGTATTAACAAACTTTATGAGATGTTGGATAAGAAACATTGTATTTCAAGTGCAACTGCATTGTTGATGTCGGAGATGCCTGTACACAAACCATTGTTGGACTTTGGATTGCGTAGTGTCAGGCTACAAGTATGTATAATGTGTAAATGCTCTGAAATTGGCATGCCCTGTCCTATCTGATCAGGTTAGGTTAAGTTCATTTTTGCATGTAAAGTTCATGATAAAGTTGTGAATTTTAATTTGATACTCGCAGCACCTATCTACCTGTAAGGATAAATGAATTATGACTGCAATGCAATTATCTTAAAACTACTTATTAGGGCTTAACCTGACTTAACCTACCATTTTCAAAATAATGGATCCTTTCGGCTTATCTAGTTGTTTTTATTGTTTGTAATTTGTTTTACAGGATATTAATTTCCTTGATGAGCTACAATTTTCTTTTATTTTCCCATTTCTAATTAATTATGGAATTTTATGTCATAGTGGCCCGAGTAAAGATAACATGGCCACGCAAGACAACTATTGAAATACACTGTACTAGACTATGCGTAGCTAAATTTTCCTCGAAATCGTTGTACAATCCTTAAAAATATGTAAATGAAGATTGGAAAACTGCCGCATTGAAATTCTAAATGACTCCGTCGTTACCCCGGGATAGACATACGTTTTGAAAGTTGATCTTGTCATTCTTGTCAGTGCACTTTTCTGTAAATTTCCTTTTATAAAAATGTATTACAGGGTGGCCAAGATAAGGATTACACTAGGTTAAAATCAGTAATCACACAATCTTACATCAAGCATTTTTTTGTAACGCCTACTTAAATATAAGGAAAAATTAGAAAAAAACACCTTTGTTGATAACTAAAAAGCAAATGTAACGTGATATATCAGTGTAGCACTTTTTTAAAAACACCATCATGTAGTTTCTAAATAGTGCCATTAGTTTTTTGACATTTCTTAAAATAAAGTCAGACAAAAATAAAAACGATTTGGCCAAATTTTAGTTTTTTCCAAATACCTCAGTATATGACTAGTTTCTCAGTGTATGCAATATGCGCAATTTATTTAAAAAAAAAAGTAGGAAGTCAACCCTAACACACAAATAGATAAGTATGCAAGGCTCACCTAGTTTCCTGCACAGATATCCTGTTTCCCTCAGACGAGTTGGAAGTAGACCTAATTTCCACTTTGGAGACACTTGACACCGACGTCACAACACCAAGACACCACTGAGAGACAATCGAGAACCCTATAGTGAACACCACTACTGAAAAAAGTAGCTAAAACGAATAAAGCTCTGTACGGAGCTGTGAATGCGTAGATATTCCGCTGTACCCACGGTTGCCGAGAGACTGAAGTGGGGGAGTGCTGTACCTCGCTGTGGCGATACGGTACGGCCGCGTAGTACAGACACGCCCCTTTCCAGCTCCCACTCCGCGCGTCTGCTCCCGAAGCGACTCGATGTTTACGTTGACCGAAGTATTTTGTCCTATAAAACTGGGCATTTATAAAAGTGTTCAGAGACATTAACGTTCCGCCGCAAAGACGCTAGGCGACGCAAAATGTAAATAACAGCTTTTTTTAGTTTGTTGGCAAACATTGCTACTCCTCAAATTTTATATACTAAGTGACATATAAATCCGAACACCCAGCTTAAATGGTTTTATTTTAATAAAATTTTTTATAAGTACTTAATGAAGCATAATAAGTAAATGATAAAAATTTCAAAATGATTGCACTGCTTTAAAGCCCTTTGACCTTTAATAATGTGTGGATGCACCCTGATGTGCTACGCATTCTCCAACGCGCCTAGGCATGCTTCTGATCAGGTGGTCAATGTCCTCCTGTAGTATCTCATTCCAGGCAACCACCAACTCCTCTCGAAGTGCTTCTAGAGTCTGAGGAGGACGTTGCAAATTGAGCAATCTCCTACCCATCATATCCCACACGTGCTCAATTGGGGACAAGTCGGGAGATCTTGGTGGCCATGGTAACAATGTGACATCATTATGTTGAAAGAAGTCTATTGTGACTCTTGCAACATGTGGTCGGGCATTATCTTGTTGGAAAGTTGGATCTGCCAGGGTGTCAAGATAGGGTAAAAGATGGGGTTCTAGAACTTCGTGGATATAACGCTGCGCTTTCATGTTACCTCTGATGAAGATTAAATGTGACCTGGAACCATAAGCTATAGCACCCCTAACCATAACTCCAACAGTGTGATTAACATGTCTTTCAACCAAAAACTGTGGATTCCTCCTTTCACCACGTCGCCTTCTAACCCTTGCACGACCATCGTGCATGCCTAAACAAAATCGAGACTCGTCACTAAAGACAATACTGTTCCATTCCTGATCCCAGAGTGACCGTTGTCTGAACCACTCAAGGCGATTACGTCGGTGTTCTCGAGTTAAAGGGAGGACCCAGTGTGGCCGGTATGAATACAAGCCAAAACTTCTCATTCGTCGGTAAACACTTCGCATGCCAATATGTCTTCCGTGTTCTGCAAACCATTCATTTGCCATGGACCTGGTAGTGGAGAAACGGTCCCTTAAGGCCAATAATCTTAGGCGGCGATCTTCACGGTCTGTTGTTCTACGGCGGCGTCCAGTGCCCCTTGCTCTGCGTACGGCCTTCTCGAAGCCATGCCTGACAACACCTAACAACAGTGTCTACACTTCTTTGCACTCTAACTGCAATTGCCCGAAATGAAAGTCCAGCTCCCGAAGTCCCACGATACGGCCCCTATCAAACTCACTAAGTTGACGAAATCGTACAGGTCTCCGTACTCTAGGCATCGTAACCGATCGTAAAGGATGTCAAGAACCAAAATCCGCCAACGTTGATTCTTTACTGCGGCTGAAATATTCATTTTTAGAGCGTTAGTGAAAAAAGCAGTATAAAAACCGGAATGTCCAACTGATAAGGCTGAAAATTTTTTCACTTGTTATTTACAGTAAGATAAATACATTCACCAACTTTTATTAAAATAAAACCATTTAAGCTGGGTGTTCGGATTTATATGTCTCTTAGTATATATCTCCATTGGTATCCCTCAATGTTTTATTCAAAGCTTCTTTCATTCTAGCAAAATGGCAAATGTAGCAAAATTGTCCGATGAGCTGGCAACGCAGCAATCTAGGTGACAAGGTCAACTGCCAAAACGAATGTCTATCCTTCATTTGTATTTTTCAAGCGGTGGGCAAGATTTCGAGAAAAATTTCGCTACGGATAGTCATCTAGAGTCTAGTACTATAGAGTATATTTCAATACTTGTCTTGCGTGGCCATGTTATCTTTTCTCGGGCCATCATAGTTTTTCTGATTTAACCTCATGCTACAACTCTATTTTTCTATTTACTCTCTGTAAGACTTCATTTTTGGTAGTCCTACATGACCATGGCATTTTGAGCACCCTGAAATAGTGATAGTCAATAATAGTAATTATGATCTTCACATACACACATTGCACATACTTGTAGCATGATACTCTACACAATCCACAGCCAAACAATGATTTGTGAAAAAGCATCGCTGACATCGGCAATACAATAATTGCACTTTTCATATAATATTTCTTATCAATGGAGGAACCATCTCATAAAGTTTGTTTGAATGAATCAAGTATACAATATGAATATGCATCGATTTGTTTTACCTACCTTCATCAAGGGAACAGCTTGGTTGTGAGCTGTTGAGCTTTTATATATATATATATATATATATATATATATAATTAAATACATTTCCATTTGGATCAAATTGTTCATATTTAGATCATTAATACCAGATATGGGATTTGAAGATACCACAGCTTGTGGAATTTGTTCATTGTCGGGAATTATTATTGATTGATCAACCTTATTTGCAAGAAAATAATAAATTATGCTTCTACCCTCGATTCGTGTGTCTAAAATTTCTTAAACGTCAAAACAAGCATGCCGGAAACCTAAAGCAGGACATACTACCAAGCCCTACTGAGCGAGGGCCGTGGCAAATGCTTGTTCCGGAAGTCGTTGTATCCAGTATACAACTTCTTCCCGTCCAAGTGATTGCGCACGCGTTAAGGAATACCTCAGTACCGATTGCCGGGTGGCGGTACAAGTTCGCCAACGGGCCACTTTAGGTCTATTTAACATCACTAATACGTAAAAAGAAGGTGGTAGACAAGGACCAGTCGACCGAGGCAGTACCACCCGCTAGCTTTTCCCAGGGTGTCTTATAAATGTCCGCATGTTTCCACACCTAAGCTATGCAGTCGGTTATCTACCAAAACAAAGAAATTAATGATGATGGATCCCTCGAGCACTAAAAACTCCGGACGTAAACTCACTCCACTCTCGGAATGTCCGGGTGGAGGGTGGGCTCGAGGGAACAACATCGAAGATAAAATTTGTTTTTCGAACACCTGCGGGATCAACAGCAACATTGATGCTGTTCATCACTATCTGCAATCCAATCGTCCCGCCGTGCTTTTCTTGGCGGAGACAAAAATCTCAGAGACTGCACCGATTAACCATCTCAACTTCCCAAACTACGAGGTGCACTCCAATCTGAGAAAGAACGGGGGAGTTGTGGCTTTTGTCCGCAGCAGTCTTTTCTGCTCCAGGGATCTTTCTTTGGAATCAGACCGGAAGGACATTCTGTGGCTTCGCCTCAACTCCAAAACATCACCCAAATTTATTTGCTGCCTTTATCCCTCTCCCTAGAACCATAACTGGGATGACCTACTCGAATACCTCGCCGTCCAGATCGACTTCCTGAACATCAATCACCCCGCTTCAGAGGTAGTTCTTCTCGGTGATTTCAATGCCCATAATGAGCTTTGGTTGGGCTCAAATAAGACCGATGCAGCAGGACGTGCAGTCGAAGCGTTCGCTCTTACTCAAGGGCTGACCCAGCTGGTGACGAGCCCTACTTTTTTCCCCCGCGTCTCGTCACACGCCAGTAGCTTGCTGGATCTCTTTCTGACCACGCATCCTGCCCCTTACAGCACTGCCGTCCTGTCCCCCCTGGGTAACTCAGATCACGGTGTTGTGGAGGTTAGGTTTCGGTCAGAAGCCGCTGTGGCCGCAGAAACTCGCACAGGCCGCAAAACTTGGCATTACGGACATGCCGACTGGGAGGGGCTCAGAGACTTCTTCTCTAGCTTTCCTCGGAGAGATGTCTGTTTCACTGACGCGGATGCGTCGACTGTCTGTTCTTCAATAACCGAAATTATCCACGTCGGAATTGAGGAATACATCCCTCACACAGTGAAAGTTCCTAAACCAGGGTCCAACGGCTGGTTCAACAAATCGTGTGACACTGCTCGCCAGCAGAAGATCAAGGCCCACAGAACCTACTTACAAAACCCCACTGTAGAGAACAGACAAGCCGACGTCGAGTCCAGAAACAAATATAACGAAGCGGTTCGCAATGCCAAAACCCAGCATGATATAAAAGTTAGGCACAGGGTGATGTCGCAGCGCAATGGCAGTCGGTGTTTCTGGACGCTGGCCAAGCAGATTGAAAAGAACTTCTCACACAGTAGCCTTCCACCACTTACGTGTCAGGATGGAACTATTGTATTCGACTCAAAGGCCAAGGCGGAAGTGCTAGCCAAGATCTTTGCTGCCAACTCCACCATGGACGTCCCCACCAATGCCCAAGTGCCGTCAATTCAAAGGGTTCCCCACACTATGCGGGAGGTAACATTCAGGCATAAGACCGTAAGACGAGTGCTCTTGTCGCTCGATATCAACAAAGCTTCTGGTCCGGACTTGATTCCTGCCATTGTACTGAAGAGATGTGCAGCTGAGCTTGCTCCAGTTCTTTCGCGTCTCTTCCAGATATCTTATGAATCCGGCACCTTCCCAGAAAACTGGAAATTTGCTCATGTACAGCCCATCCCAAAAAAAGGATCTAAAACCGACCCTTACAACTACAGGCCTATAGCTCTGCTTTCTGTTATAAGTAAAGTGATGGAGAGGTGCATAAATCGCGAGCTTCTGGACTACCTCGAACGTCACAGCTTGATTAGCGACAGGCAGTACGGTTTCCGGCACCAACGATCCACAGGGGACCTCCTAGCTTACGTCACGCAACTGTGGAGTAAACTCATCCAGTCTCATGGTGAGGCTCATGTCGTTGCTCTTGACATCACGAAAGCGTTCGATCAGCTGTGGCACGCTGCCCTCTTGAGCAAACTTCCATCCTACGGCCTCCCAGAAAAGCTTTGCAGATGGGTGGCTGACTTTATCTCTGGCCGCAAGATATCCGTCGTAATTGACGGATTCTCCTCTTCATCCCACAACGTCAACGCGGGTGTTCCCCAGGGATCGGTCTGTTTCTCTTACATATCAACGACCTCCTTTCCTGCACGATCAACCCAATCCACAGCTTCGCTGATGACAGCACTCTACATGCAGGAATTCAGAGTGACAAGCCGATCTCTGCCGTTGAGCTGGAAAAAAGAAGACTAGCGACGACTTCTTCTCTGACAAGAGACCTGGAGGCTATCACTGCTTGGGGACGGAACAATCTTGTACAGTTCAATGCTTCCAAAACACAGTACTGTACTTTGACGAACAAAAGCGTCCTAGCGCTCATACAGTTTCGATGGACGGTCGAGTTCTACCAAAGAGCCATTCATTTCGGCTGGTCGGAGTCCAGATCACCGAGGACCTGATCTGGCACGAACACATCTCTTCAATAGCTGCAGCTGCTGGGAAAAAGCTAGGCTATTTGTTTAGGGCTAAGAAGTACTTTTCTCCGCATGACCTTCTTACTCTATACAAGGCCCAGATAAGGCCTAGCCTCGAGTATTGCTCACAGATTTGGGGTGCTGCCGCCCCGACTACATTGTCCATGCTCGATGCTGTCCAGAGGAGGGCGGTCCGACTGATCGATGACTCTTCTCTAACAGACAGTCTCGGGACTCTTTCGCACAGGCGGGCCGTCGGCGATCTAGCTCTTTTCTATCGCTACACCAACGGGCTTTGCTCCTCAGAGCTCTCTTCCATGATGCCGCCGCGCGATGTGCCTGCCAGACAGACCCGCCTGACTTCGGCGTCCCATCCTAACCGTGTCAAACTTCGTACATCCAGAACTGGCCGATACGACCGCTCCTCTGTCCCGAGGGTGTCTAGATTGTGGAACAAACTACGGGAGGAAGTTTTTCCCAGTTCTACTAACCTTGGGCAGTTCAAAAATCGTATTAACAAAATTTCTTTGGGAACATCATAGCAGCCGCGGTGTTCCGGCATTTAGGCTTCTGCCTGCGCGGCTGTTTCGATATATAAAAAAAAAAAAAGAAGAAGACATGAAATTATCGAAACCAAGGAGGCCATAAGGCGTCCTACAAGTGTAGAAACGACTGACGATACGGCCCTAAGTCATCATTACTATGTTTAATTTGACAATATTTCAATTCATAAGTAAATTCTAATCCCATAAAACACCATGGCGCGATTTTCTAATCCTTGCGCTCCTATTGGCAAGCGGGTCATAAATGTTTACGCATATTGCAACAGGCGAATAGAAGTGACGATCTAGTACTCGCTTGAATAGGGTTTGCAAAGATGAAGTCGAGAGGATTAATTATTCATACAAACTTTTATTACGGAGGCAGTCGCTGAATGGATTATGTCATTTCAATTTTCTGCAATACCTATTAGGAATTTCCGTGAATTTTGGGAAACTTTTGAAAATTAGGGAGGATATGAGGAATTTCCTGAGACTACAAGAATAATTAGGTATTAAGTGGTATTACAGTAAATTTTGGAGAAATATATCATGTTATTGTACCAATTACTGAACGGTTGAACCCTCGACTAGAGATCTTTTCTATAGCAGCCGCAATACTCTAGATTTCAGGTATTGTCTTCGCACATCCTTCAGTATATTCAGAATCTGTGAATTGTATTCTAGATTTACCTTTATAGACGATATCTGAATCCGTTACCCTGGATATTAATGGCACGGAGGGGTATATCCTTAAAGTTTCCTTTATAACACACTCCAAGTATTTCATTTCCTGCAAATCCCTGTGTGTCACTGTCTTTGGTATCGTGCCACCGAATATGGTCTTCTGTTCTTTGAATGCTTTTGCCTTAAAATAAACTCAACATAATTTTTGAGGCTCGTTAATCTATGAATAATACACCTGTACTTCAGGATTTTGCATCAATAAGTATATGCAGAAGCTTATTGCTGAAGCAGTCGTGTCATGACCCTGAAAAAATGGATCAGTTAGTGGATGGAAAATTCGCTACTCGAGTAAATCATAGCCACTAAACTAAGTTATTTGTATGACCGTTTAGAAAAAATGTTTTTACAAAAGTTGTAGGGTCCAATATAAAGTTTTACGTGCAATATCTTTTTTATACATAGGGTGGCTCATATAAATGCTATGGACCAAAGTTGTATTCATTCAAACGGAACACCCTGTACAATTATAGTCGTTTCCTCCGATCCAAGTAACTTATTATACTAATTATCACTAGTTGGAACAAACAACTAAATTTTGTGTTCCATTTATTCATGTATGTGAGAGTTTGAAATCAGTTTGCGAAATAATTAAAGTTTGGTTTTATCGATGCAAGTTGTTCAAAGGGGTATCATTTGGTTGTTTCTGACAACTGTGATGTGATGTGATGAGACTCGTATAAACGATATAGTCTGATCATATTAGACGAAAATACCCCTGCTTTGCGAAATAATTGTAAAGTCTGATTTTATTGATGCAAGTTGTTCAAGGGGGTATTTAAAACATGGACGCATAAAATGGGTACACCAATGTTTTTAGGAATACTTTTTATTCGACAAAAAAGAATGAGAAAACCTGTTTTTTTTTTTTGGATTCGATCGAAAGTATTGTCAGGAACCAAAAAACTCTTCAAATAAGACTCTTAGGTATTTATGAGACCTACTGAATCAGACACACCCGTAAAAATGTCAGACTAATATTAAAAAAGTTTTGGCCAAAGACCAAGGCAAAATGCAGGTTTTGTCACGTGTTGCTAATGCGACGATAATTTCACGCAGATACTTGAAATTCTCCAAATCCGTAGGCTTCATACTTCTTAATAACCACAACAAAATTGGAGTCGATTGGTCAAGCAGTTTTTGAAGATTTCTAATTGTTTATCCCAAAACACCTGTCTTCTGGCCATTACTTCTAGTATACTGAGCAATATACATGGTTCGTTCAAATGGCATTTTATAACAAAATACACGAGTTTTCCTTGCCGACTTGATTCACAAACCATTCCGAAACATAATTGTTATTTTTATGCGAAGGGTTACCTATTTGTGAGTAATTGAACAGATTCTCTACGATATTCGAAAAACATACGTTATTATATACACATATGTATATTACATTTTAAAACAAAGCGGATGTGTTCACCTTTTGTTGTGAAGAAAATGTATTTTTCAAGATTTCTTCATACTCTTGTGTAGATACATATTTAGAGGTGATACGGTCACAGATAAGGCTTAACGTTTATGAAAAGAAATATTTCATACTGAAATCCTCTGTACAGTTCATGAAGGTAGCACGCAAACTGAAGTCACATATTAGGTTGCTCTTAGAACTAATTACTGCCTTCGTTTTTCGCATAAAAATAACAATTATCTTATCTTGCGGAATGAATGGTTTTCGGCCATAACTGTTCTACTATTAGTCAGATCTTTTTACGTGTGGTCTCATTTTTTAGGTCTCATAAATACCTAAGAATCTTATTTGAAGAGTTTGTTTGGTTCCTGACAGCACTTTCGATTGAATCCCAAGAAACAAGTTTTCTCATTCTATATTGTCGAATAAAAGGTATCCCCACAAAACTTTTTCGATTACACTTTTCTGAAACACATAATAAATTAAATTCTACATCTATTGAATATAACTTTTTTCTAAAAGGCAATGCAGAAAAAATTAAAAGAGAGTAAATTTATAACGACATACCCCACCCCACACATCCTGTTATCCTAAATTCTGTCATGTGGTGGGTCCAAATTCAGAGTAAAAGACTTTGATTTGGTGCCATCCATAAGTTTTAACATCAAATTGTCATCGGATTCGAAATCTACACATCAGATTAACTCAGAAAATGAGTCTTCATGGAAATTACAGATATACAAGGATCTTAGATAATAACTGAATTTCTTTTATTGCCAATATCTCGAAAACTGGAGTTGCCAGGTGCCGAAATCGATTTCAACGACTCAAAAGCGTATCTTTTAAATATGCTTGCGCTTACAGGCAGAGCAACGCATTTTTGCCTCCCTTACTAGTGGCAGGAAAGTATTGTAATTGCGAAAAATTTACAAAATGAGACACGTTATTTGGTTCTTATGTGACTTGTACATCATAAAAAACCATATCACTCATTTCCGTCTAACTGTTGGTCGATCGATCTGTCAGTTATAGAAACTTGGAAGGTACGGCTCAGTATTTGGTGAAAGTTTCACAAAACATTACTGCTATTCAAAGGAAGACAATCTTTTTGTAGCGAATACAGATTAGGAGGAGAGTGCATCACATTTTTTTGGGGCTGGTATATTTGTACTCTTCCAATCCTGGTAGCTCTGTCCTCCTTGATGCTATGTTTTGCTACCATGATAAGGTCACTGTAAATAATTAAAACGCATTCTGCAAACTCAGAATGTCCATTACCATACGCACTTTGATTTGCTAAAACTGAATCCGAAATCTTTTTAAATGCAGCTCAGCCCTTGTCTTCTATTTCTATTTTATGAATAACTGCTAAACGATGCTATTTTGATCTACAAGGCAGAACAGCGAAACAAATATATCCGTTATACTTCCTTTTGAATGAAAAGTAAGCGCAGATCAACATGAATAAAAAAATTACCGCAAACATGAAAGTATCAACTTCTTCCCTAATCTCGTCATCAGTCAACGGCCTACCATCTATAGTAGCCAATAGCAATGAATCTAAGAAAGCGAGCTTCTTCTTTCTGTCGATATCTTCATCTCCAGTGTCTTGCTTCGATTGGTCGAGGGCCTCTTTCCTCCTAGCTTGGACGACAGACTTTGTTCGAGAATGAAGCACATTCAAGTGTTTCTTTTCTTTGTAGTAGTTGCTGGTCAGCTTATAAGTCCAATTGTTTCTTCCTAGTGGCGAGAACATCCTTGCAATAAGGATTCGACACATATCTTTTACAGCAAATACGTATTCAGAGTCGATGTTTTCTTGGGCGTGGACTGATACCCCCATGGCACTTTCTAAAATGTGAAATTAGAATTGTTTAAAAGCCATTCGTGAATATAATGTCTAAATATGTGAAGTAAAATACACCTTAGTGAATAAAGCTGTTTTGGGAAGGTCGAAAACATTCAAACGGCTGTAACCGACCACCTGAAGGCTATTCCGGCATCGGAGTTTCAGCACTGCTATGAGGAGTGGAAGAATCATCTATGAGGCTTCAGAAGGAAGTTATTTTGAGGGTGACAGTATAAACTTGTAATTATATTTGAATAAAACAATTTGAAACAATCAGTCTGATTACTTAATTTACAAATCTTGTATGTCTTATGTATTGAAAAAATCATTTCCAATGATCAGTATATTTTTGTCACAGACACAACTTCTAAGCATCCGGACAAGGTCGTCTACCACATAGGTGGTCACTATCATGTCGAGAAACTGTGACTTCGTGCTACCGTATGTAGGGGTCGGTAGTACTGAGATTGGCGAAGTATTCAAAGGTGGTTGTTTATTTTTCGCAGACTACAAGGTAGAGTTTTTCAGTGAGCTATTTTCTCTTGCTTAGTTTCCGTAATCTGTTTCCAAATGATTGGACCTATACCATACTGATAATTACTTGCATGAAATAACAAACATCGTATATAGTTGATTGTGGTCGCATAGATAGTAAGCAAACAGTTCCAATTCAGCCTCAGTTTAATTTATGCAACTGTTGCTTAATACGTCAATGCTGGTAGCTCAGACAGCCAACCATGGACAGCTGTTTCGTAATCTTGATCACTCATCAGCACGGTTTAGGCTTCATCTCTGGGACAACGAACGGAAACATGCAACCATCCTCTATCCGACCGGCGACAGCAGGCTTGGTTTGTTTAATGGCGACTATACAACATCTATGTACTATACCGCCAGAGTTATCAGATACTACCGGTTACTGGGGTATCAAACACGAACTGAGATCTTCACAGTTCCAACCGCTAGCTGCTAGACGATCCGGCAGAGGTGGATTCTGGTAATAGATGACGATTTAACTAGATCTCATTCCCCAGATAGAGGATAGTTGCTATGCTTTCGTTCGTTGTCCAGACCATGCTGAGTTGCCAGAAAGCAGGAAACAGCTGTCTATGGTCCGCTGTCTGTGGGCGAAATTTATATTGTAGTGGATACATATGAGAACAAAATAGGTGAACAAACCACATATTATGTCTAACGTGCAACTTGTTATGTACGGTTGCAGATTGATTTCCTGATCACACATGTCTTCTAACTTGTGCATCAAAATCTTCCCATTCTTCTCGAATACATCGATGAATTGTTCCAGAATGGAAAAATGGAAGCTTGGAGTTATTATTTTTCTTGCTCTACGCCATTTTGAAGCTAAAAATAAATGAGCATAAAGATAAATGTGGTTATTCGTTTACCTATGTATGTAAGAACACCTTAAACCACACATAAATAGCTGAACATTCAAAAAAATTGCGTCAAGTTGGTTTACTGTGATCTTCTCATGCAACGCCGTTTGACAAGAAAATATAGTTACGGACATGTATACTAGAGAAAATAAATGGATCAAGGCAGTCAAACAGGCCCGTACAATTAGTTCACAGACAATCTATCATCGTCCTAGCGGTAGTAGCGTCCACAAGGCAACGTCGTCGGGGAAACCTAAGTGTCAAATATGTCTAATAGGTACGTAGATGTACCGGGATTGAGAGAGTATTAATATACTAACATCGAAAAATTGAGATACACCCTCCTCCACCCCCTACGACCCCCAATTTGTAACGCCTACAATCCTTTTTCTAAAAATGATCAGGAGCATATGAAAAGTCAAAAAATTATTATGCGGTTTTAATTTTATGTTTATTTTAATTTACAGAGATTTTTCATCCTTGGCACAATAGTAACCGAGAGTGAAAATTTTGTCCAAATACGAGCGGTACTTTCCAAGTTTTAGACGGGCCCAGGCTTAGTGGACAGACTGACATACAGATCGACGTAGATTAGTGACATATGGTCTTAATGATGTCATACAATATCCACAAACATAGTATCTCATTTTCGAAATTCCAGTGGCGAAGGAAGGAAGTTCTCCTGTTTGTTATTATTCTTAAAAACATTAATTTGTTTATACTTACCATTCGCTAGCAGTAAGCCTGATCCTAACCAATCATCAAAAAATCTGTAATCGTTCCCCTTGTCTAGGATTTTTGTTGAAGACAGGACGAATTCTAAGAAATCATAATCAGTTGTAATTATGTATTTTTGATAAAGCAGTTGCACGGTGCATATTTCTCCTGCGTTAGTGACGTATTTCGTTAATGCATTCAAAACGTCTGTAACAAGAGAAATATAATATGATATATTATGTTCCCAATTTTCCCATGTACAGAGAAACAAACCAAATGGGAAAGGGGGAGTACAGTATTATGTACCGTTTGCCCTAGGTATGAAAACGTTTATAATAGTTTTCGAGAAATGAGCCGTCAGAGGTAGGATACGGCAGCGTCATGCAGGAGGGTTCAAAGGAAATTTAGTTGGAAAGAGACACATCTAGGGCTGTCAGCTGTTATAACTGGGGCTACTGGCTGCCTATTATGGAAGTTTCACCGTTTAATCAAATTACCTTCTCTAGGCCTGAATGATTAATTTATTAACACTTTGCGGCATACTGATCTTCTAGAATGATCGCCAATCGTAGATGCTTTACTAGTTGTCTATGATTCAAGCTTTTTATCAGCAATGAAATGTTAGTCAACAAGATAGCTCAGCTGATGGAAACGCACCTTATGGAAACCTTATATCACGCACGACAAAAGTTGTTATGCTATGTTATTCTGTCAAATAATGGGACGTTTTAGCTGCTCAATAATAATGCTATCATAATTCATTTTTATAGGTGTAATATAAGCATAGTTATAAAATAATAAGAGTCTTAATTTTTACTATATATTTCAACCATAAGTGCTCGCTATTTTCCTGGAAAGAGCATATTCTCTAGGATTACAGCCGTACATACTCGTATATACGAGCCCCTTCCCACTTCAGTTGGCCCACTTCAAGATTTGTACCAAAATATGCCTTTATAAACTAAACATGACGAAACTATTTACTTCTAAAATAATTCATTTTCTCAAAAACATTTTAGATACACTCTAATCGTAAGAAATACATATTTGAAATCACTTAGACCTACAACTAATAGAACATCTGAACAAATAAACAATGTGCGAATAAATGCGCGAAGTTAACAAAGCAACAATTGAAATATTACCATTGGGTAACATCACCTTTATTTTTTATTATGGCTGAAATTCTTTGGGGCATAGTGTTAACCAAGTTTTTGCAAAAATTTGGTGTAAAACAATCCCATATTTCTTGAAGCTTTTGTCTCAGTTCGGTGATTGTACGAGCAGGATGTTGTCGTAGAACCTTTCTCATCTCGTGCCACAAAGTTTCAATAGGTGACAGATCTGGACTGCTAGAAACCCATTTCAAAAGTGGTACATTATTTTCTTCCATTAATGTTATAGCCTTTTTTTAGGTATGGCACGCTGCACCATCTTGCTGAAACACAAAATCTTGGCCGGATGTCATTCAACATTCTTCCATCACTGGTAAAAGCGATTCTTCTAAAACTGCCAAATATTTGTTTGTATCCACATTTCCATCAATAAAATGAAGTTTTCCTACTCCTTTTGATGACATACTGCCCCAGACCATAATGGATGCTGGAAATTTAACTTTTCCCTTCAGACAGTCAACATGGAATGCTTCATTTTTTTGCGAATAACTCTACTGCGACTGTCACCAACACAAACTTCGAATCGGGCCTCATCACTATTGAGGTGTCCATTGTCTAGGTTCTTTAGCCCATCTAAGCCGATTTTTCTTTTGCAGTGGAGTTAATAGTGGCTTTTCTTTGGCATATACACAAGTTGTGCAACTTTAGGGTTTTTACTTCACTTTTTTTGATAAGAAAACTCACCTTGCAAGTGCTAAATCTTAGTTTGTGGGCCTCTCTATGGGTTGTGGACCTCGAAATTCTCCTTCCAACAGCGTCACTCCACAGAGCACTTTTTTGTAAATAATTGGCACGCATTGGTCGGCATTTGTGATATTACTTTTTTTCACACATCGTTGGTTAATATTAACTGAACCAGTTACGTTATATCTTCTAACAATATTTCTCACACTGTACCGCGATAAGTCTAACAAAGTTGCAATTTCTGAGTTTGATTTCCCAGAATTAAAAAGTTTAATTATCAGTAACCGAATTTTTTCACTAACAACCTTTCCTGTGCCCATTTTGAAAACCTTAACTACCCAAAACAATTTTAAACGTATTCTGACAGCTGTCATTAACAAAAACAATTGTCATGGCTTTTATTTTTCACAGCCACCTATGTGTTATAGACTTATTTTGCATTGAAATGAAAATAGGTTGATATGCAGTAATTGCAACATGTGTTATTTTTATGCTGCAAATTTGATTAGGGAGTGATAAAGTTGGTGTTTTCTACTATAGATTATGAAAATATTCATTGTTAATATTTCAAACCTATAACACCCTGCTACATTTCTATTATTTGTGTTTGATAAGAAAAAAACTAAGATTTCAATAGTTGGGCCAAGTGAAGTGGGAAGGGGCTCGTACTATAAACTTGTTACAATGGGTGCGACATAGCTGAGGCATCATAGGAACTGTAAACGGCAGCTTTAGTGCTACCTGGTGAAGATACGTTAGTGTTACCGATCTGAATACTGTCTGATTTGTATAAATTAGCAAATCTGGAAATAGGGAGTCAAAGTCGAATTCCTTCATTGAACAGGTGCCAAAGCCAGTGTTGCCATTTATACTACCTACTATTACCAGTTGTATAATACTGGTAGTAACTTACTGTATGACATTTGTAGGTATACTAGAAAATTAAGGATTTTATAATGAAAAAATAAACACAGCGGCATAAGGTTAATTAGAGGTATGCGAAATACCGTATTTGACATTTGACTTGTACCCCAAGATAAGCGCTAATAATCTGTGGGTTATGGTTAGGGATTCATGACGTCTTGATTTCCAAGCTACTTGAGCTGAAATCAAGTCGAGCTAAAGTCAAGTATTAGATATTAGCCATGTAAGTCAACTCAAGTGGTTTTTACGTCAAGTACTCAAAATTCAAGTAGTCTTGATATAACTTATATAATTTTTATAGATTGTTGTAATATGAATACGAGTAGATTATAAATACACAACAGAAAGACTTTGTGACAAGTTACAGAAAAAAACAATCGCCTAAATGGGAGCAAACTTGAGTATTTAGGTAATTAATAAAATACCGGTTAGAAAGTAGAAACTCAAAGTATATCCGAAGAGAGACGTAAAAAACAGAATTGTCCCAAAATCAGGGTGTTTCAAATTAGACCCTCACCATTGGGATGTCGGAAACTGTAAGGGATACGAAGTCGCTTAAATGGAAGCAAAGTAAGGGAATTAACGTAATCAACAAAATGATGCTTAGAGAGAGACGGAAAAACCGAATTTTCCCAAAATCGTTCAATTTTTTCCTGATTTTGTTTGTTGTGGAATTTCAAAATAAATTGCACTTTAAGATCTTCATTTTTTTTTGTCTGCAAAATGTCTTAATTGAAATTTCAATATGACGTTTCATCGCTTGTTCTCCAGCATCACTTTATCTTACGGACCTCATATTGCATTTTTACACAGATGAATAGAGTTTTTAATGCTGATTCCAGAAATGTATATTGCGTCATCCGTCATACATTCACATTAGCAAATTTTAGTTATTTCAAAAAAGAAGAATTTCCTAGACAGGCCTTGAAATTATCAGATAGTCATTTGTTTCGCATAGAAGATTTAACCTAATAACACTTTTATTCTTTCCCGACTTTATCTGAGAAGGGATTCTAAAATAAATTTCATGTCAACATTTCAACCTTTTCTCTTCTACAAGATGCCATAGTTAGAATTTCAATATGACGTTTCGTCTCTTGCCCTCTAGCATCAATTTTATTTTTTTCTTATGGACGCTATATTGGATTTTTGCGCATCCATTTCCAAAAATGTATCATAGGCATACAGTGATATTGCCAAACATCTCAGTTATTTCAGAAATACAGAAGTACCTAGGTAGGCCCTGGAATTATCTTGACTTGAAATCAAGTCGAGTTAAAGTCAAATATTAGATATTAGCAATGTAGGCAAAGTCAAGTGATTTTTACGTCAAAAACTTGAAAATTCAAGTAGTCTTGATATAACTTTGATAATTTTTGTAATATAAGTACAAGTATATTATAAATACACAACGGAAAGACTTTGTGACAAGTTACAGAAAAAACCAATGATACGTATTGTACATAATAATTTGTGCATCGTGTAACTGATACCAGAACGATAATACTGTAAACTCAAATAGAACAAGAGCATTCCCTCATCACCTGGTACACAAACATGAATAATTCTGAATTAACTTTTCATTCGCTGAACACGAGTCAAGACACACCAGGGTCCTAATGAATGTATGGCTTAATTTGTTGCGGATTTCCGCAGGCCAAGAAAAATCCCTTTCAACGGGCGCTGATGTTGCAGGTGTCAATAAAGGATATCTTGCTATTAAAACTAGATTTGGGAATACATTTCTACCTCCCGTGCAATTTGCATCCTCATACAAAATACGGCTCATCTCATCGGTTGCACAGGTACAAATAAATATCACTGAAAGTCTTTAGTGGGACAAAAATATAGTTTGTGAACAAGTATCAAGTACCTAGTTTGAAAATGCTTGACCTCAAGTCAATAAACAATAATATAATCAAGTCGAGCCAAGCATTAACGTTTCAAGTAATTTTATTTTCAAGTCAACTAGTTTATAAAAATGAACTAAGAACCTTACCTTTCCCGCTCCCCACATCCAGGATATTCCCTAAAACAGGAAGACCTCCCGGCACCTCAGGTATCCAAGCCAGCTTTCTCTTGATGGTCCACATGGTGTACCACTGATAGCACAGCCATCCCACGAAGAAAGTGGCGATCAACGCCACGAAGAAGGCCATGGTCACTCGCGATGTCGCGGTATGCACTCTTGGTACCGGGTACTACTTCGTTGAGTACTGATGCATTTGATCGCGATTATACTACGCGGGATGAAAGCCAACACGGCACTATGTAGGAGGGGATACAATAATAATTATTATATGCCGACTAGTTGAGGAAAGATGAGTCGTGGAAGCCGCAATTAGAAGTATTATGCGATTAAAGATTGATACCAGGCTTTATGTGAAGCAGGGATTCAATACACGCGACACATAAAGTCTACAGAGAAAGAGTTAGGCGTAGGAAACGCAGAAAACCACAATGTCAGCCATAGCGTGGAAAGGTACTTTATTTGGTTTGGTAGCATATTCTTGCTTGGGGTCGACCCTAATTAAGATAAGATAAGGTGCTAGGATCAGTTACATAATCATACTTTCTGAGATTAAATGTTATGTGGCAACATGAATTTTAAATCTGATCAAGCAAAGATACGATGGTTTCATACGAAATTATTGAAGTGAAAAATTAATGGTATGTAGCAGCTTTAACCTGAAAAATGTTTTTTGTTGACAGAAACGAGACATATACAGGATGTTTCAAATTCGACTCTCACTATTGGGATCTCGGAAACTGTAAGAGATACGAAGTCGCTCAAATACGAGCAAAGTTGCGTATTTTGTTAACCAACAAAATGCCACTCGGAAAGGTTCGAAAATACATCCGGAGAGACTGAAAAACCAAATTTTTCCAAAATCCCTTCAATTTTTTCCTGATTTTGTTTGTAGTGGGATTTCAAAATAAATCGCACTTTAAGAATTCCACCTTCTCTCATCTACAAAATGGCTTAATTGGAATTTTAATATGACGTTTCATCTTGATTTTTTCTTATGATCGTCATATTGGATTTTCACACAGATGAATAGAGTTTTTAATTCTGATTCCAAAAATGTATAATGCGTCATACGTTGACATTAAAAGTCAAAAAGTAAAATTTCCTAGGTAGGCCTTAAAATTATCAGATTTCATTTGTTTCGCAGACCAGACCTCAAATTGTGCATAACAACATAGCTTGGAAACCGAGGGGAATAGAAATAAATCGCGCAAGAGTTATGCTTTGCCTACAAAATGACGGACAATGTTTTGAACATCTGTTATGATTTACATCTGCTTATTTATAATTATTATTATCTAGTATTACCATCAATAAAATTTTCATGTTGTGTTCAGGTTTCACTATACCTTTTTATTTCCTTATAATTTTCATCCAACAACAAATCATGGCCAACTAAGAAAACACATCACTGAACCTAGGACTAAAAAGTCCATTTGAATCTACAAAATTCCAATATCTAGAATCCATATGAAAAAACAAAGTTGGTGATCAAAGCCGAAAAAAGATATGTCGAATTGAAAATGTAATTGCTCCATTTTGTAGAGGAGAATAAGTAACAATGTCAGCATGAAAAATGTGAAAAATATTTGGACGAAAATGTGTCTTTTGAGTAAATCAGGGGGTCCCGAGGGACACACTTTCTGCCTCAAATGCGTGCACACACACTTTACGGTTCTTTGACAGTCACACCGCAACATATTTGTTGTTCCCAAACTACTAAAATTTTAATTTCAGGGTTTTCTTAAAAACTTGCCCCTGTGCATATCTGATCAGCGATATAGCTCCTCTCATGAGTCCTCAAACTTTATTTGGAGTTCATACACATATGAAATCAAAGTTTGCTTTTCAACTGATAACTCGTAGCCGATATACCGATATGCAGAAATTCATTCAAAAACGCTGCAGCTGTTACTGATATTACGTACAGAACTACAGAGTTGAAAAAATCGCCAGTATAGAAGTGGTGCTAGGTTTTCAGTTAATCCTGTCCTGCTTTGGTGCTCTTACGAAATCCCCCAAACCATACTAAATAAAAATAACTCGCACAGAAATTGCATGTAGTATTGTTAATTTAGGTGTATCATATTTTATCAGGCATGTAACTATTATGTATAAATGGCAATGAACTTTGCACCGGCAGTGTTTGGTATAAACAATGATAATATACACGCTTGCGTTACGTCGTTAACAAGATGTCTTTGAGGTTCTAAGAATGCGATTCAATTGTTACATGTTATTCAACGCATGTCTTCAAATGTGGCTTGGATACTGCTAAACGGTGTTATGTCTTTAAACTAAACTCGATGTTATTCATAAAAAGGCTATCCGACTGATCGATGACACTTCTCTGTCATACGGTCTCGGGCCTCTGTCACCGACGGGCGAACAGCAATCTGGATCTTTAGCCAACGGGCTTTGCTCCTCAGGGTTACCCCATGCAACTGAGCGTGAAGCCTGCCAAACAGAACCTCCAAGCTTCTACACCTCATCGCAACTCTGCCGAACTTCGTCTATAATTCTATACAGGGTGATTCACAAGTCATGTCCAAAAATGAAACATCATATACAGGACCGCATATCAAGGGGAGTCTTCTATGTAATATTTTTCCTCGAGGCTTTATTAAAAAACAATTTTTTCAATATCTTCAAAACCGTCAACTGAAATGAACTAAAATTTGATATGTGTCCACATTTAAAAGTCTTTACTTGAAATTCTCATGCACTGGAAGCGGGGATACAGGGGATTAGTGGCACCATTTTTTTAAATAAAAATAGTACGTCACTGTTTTTTTCGGAAACGCGCAATTTTTAGAATTTTACCTTCAGTTTGCTTCAAATAATTACTCTTGTGTTTTTTCCCTATAGTGTACTGGTTTCGTAAAAATGAAAATAAAACAAATTAGATCAGTCATGAACAGCTGAGATACAATTAGTTTCAAAATAAAAAAAGGAAACCTTGTTACAAACTTGACGTTTCTTGGAAGATAGTTTGTCAAAGTTATGTGTTACACGGTTGTTACCGTTACTACCATTTTTTGTAAAAGTCAAGTCAAAAGTTTCTTTTCCCATTTTTGAGTATTGTGAAATGGAATTTAGCAATGATGAGTACGCCGATATTATTTTTGTGTACGGGTCTTGTCATGGAAATGCTTTAGCGGCTTCTTGGGAGTAACAACGTAGATCTCCTAAGAGACGTCAACCTACCCCAAAGGTTTTTACTAATTTGTTTTTTTTATTACGAAAACAATGCACACGAGGAAAAAAATACAAGAGTAACTATTTGTAGCAAATTGAAGATAAAATTCGAAAAATTTCGCGTTTAAAAAAAGCAGTAGCGTACTTTTGAACAATAATGCCACTTATCCCCTGTATCTTCGCCACTGGTGCACGTTAATTTTAAGTAAAGACTTTTAAATGTGGACGGTTTTGGAGATATTAAAAAAATTGTTTTTTATTTTTAAACTTCAACACCCCATATCTATTTAATGAAGCCCTCGATGCAAAAATATTACATGGAAGACCCCCCTTAAAATGCAGTCCTGTGTATGATGCTTCATTTTTGGTCACGACTTGTGAATCACCATGTATATCATTGTTTTGACACTATGTGCTTTTTGGTCCATATGTGAAGGATTCTAACAGAAATGTATCCTGTTGAGCAAAGTCTGCAAAAAGAGTATTGCGTCAACAGAAATTTGTCAAAATATTATCGCAATTGTTGGAGGGGATGCAGTTTCTAAAGATATATTCAAACGGAAAGAGACCTTCTAAAGACTAACATTGCAGTGGTCCATCTTTAATGGTAATGGCTCACTAAAACATCAAAAAAGTCCATGATGTGGAGTTACGAGCTAAACATGTAGATTTACAGAGGGCTGTTATTGAAGAATGGCATCAAGTAAATTGACCATATATGTTACTTTCCATGTCTTCTAAACAAGTTTTAGTAGGTCCATCTAGTGCTGCTGCATCAAAAAAACGTGGATTTTTTAAAGACCATTAGTTTACTGTTTAGGTTTTTCATGAAAAAAAAATCCTCAGCAATAAGCGTGTCCGATCCCGGTAGCCTCATTTGTTTGGAGCTCTAGTGTGAAATTGTTTACCAGCAGTAATTGGTAACTTATAATAATAGCTTTGGTATGTACGGAGTCAAGTGAGCTCATTAAATTACACTCCAAGCATAATGGTCGTAAATGTAGACAATATCGCGCCCAACTCGTATGTGTATATCACGTGGCCGCGCCATCTGCTACCTGCTTTTAGAAATCCCTGGGCTACACTGCAAAAACGAAATATTTACAGCTCCGTGACCCACAGCGACTGCGACCGATAGGTACGCGATCCATCTGCTGAAAATATCTTGCTAAGTTGTAAGGGTAAATGCGCGGGGAAATCCATGATGATCCATGATGTGTGAAATATGTCTAATGGGTGCGTAGAATTACCGAGGCTGAAAGTGGTTTCATATACTAACAACAAAAATTGCGATACACCTTCCCCCACCAACCCCCAAATCTATGCCCCTAAAAAATGTTCAAAAAACGATCAGGTCTCTCCTGAAAGGTCACAAAACGAAGCTTGCACGATGTTTTTGTTTTGTTTTTGGCCTTTTTTTCCGCCGTTACTGAATTGCTTTGCAAAAATGAGATATTACATTTTTTAGATTTTATATGGAATGTACATCACGAAAAACCATGTCACTCATTCCCGTCGGTCTGTCTGTCGGTCTGTCCGCTAATCTTATATATATATATATATACTTGAGAGGTAGCGCTCGGATTTCGATGAACTATTAAGCCAAATTATTGTAGCTTTGGAAATCGGTCCAGTGCCGGCAGAGAAATGCCAAAAACGAAACGTTCTCTTTCTCTTTCCCTTTCTCTTTCCCTTTCTCTTTCCCTTTCTCTTTCCCTTTCTCTTTCCCTTTCTCTTTCCCTTTCTCTTTCCCTTTCTCTTTCCATTTCTCTTTCCCTTTCTCTTTCCCTTTCTCTTTCCCTTTCTCTTTCCCTTTCTCTTTCCCTTTCTCTTTCCCTTTCTCTTTCCCTTTCTCTTTCCCTTTCTCTTTCCCTTTCTCTTTCCCTTTCTCTTTCCCTTTCTCTTTCTCTTTCTCTTTCCCTTTCCCTTTCTCTTTCCCTTTCCCTTTTGCCTTAGTCTTTGACTTTGCGTTGCTTGGCCTATCACTTCACCCATGCATGTCCCTTGGCAGCGCCATCGCCTTTAAGTTCAACTTCGCCTACAACTGGTTTTGAAGCCACTATATGTGAGGTCACCCCTCATAACTGGGACCTCCACTTCAAGCATCCTCGCTTCAGTAAAGTCAAAATGGACCAGCGAAAGATAAGTTGATAGTTTTATAGTAGCGCCAAAGATGTAAAACTTATTTTGTTCTTTAACTTTAAAATTGTAATGTAATGAAAATGCTTTTTTTGTTAAATAAAATCTGTTAAATTTTTGTGTTCTGTTTGTTCTTCTATCCTCTAGCCATGCCATGGTCGACACACAGCTACACGCCTGAAGATGTCTTCATGCCACCGACTGAGCTACCGGAAGCTAATGGTAACCCCCTTTCTCTGATTGTGCAGAAAAGTTGGAATCTTCATTGCATTCCATCTTTTCTGGACTTTTTGCGGAAAGGAAGCGTTACATAAATTGAAAGAATGAAAATCGCTCTAACTTCGTCTTTGACGTTTCAGGGGATGCTTGGTTGATCAAGTTTTTAATGTTAATACATTTATGGTATAGGTAGTGGCCTGTAATCCAAATCCGAGCAGTAAGTTATAGACGAGCCAAGAATTTCAGGACTCACCAACAGACAGACAAAGAGACCGACAGACTGACGGGAATGAACGACATGCTTTCCCGTGATGTACATGTCATATAACATCTAAAAAGCAAAATCTCTCATTTCCGAAAATTTTCGCGATTACAATTCTTCCTCGTCGACAGGCGCGGGAAGTAAAATTTCCACAAGCTCTAAAGAAAAATAGTTAGAAAGCCATCAAGTGGCATACTGCTTCCTCAGGTTAATGCTCCCAGCCGTACCTCCTGCATTGGCTACACCAACGGGGCTTTGAATGAGTAGATGACCGTATTCGCCAGTCCTGGCTCTCATTTCATAATCTTCCTAGAATTCAAAGAATATTTCCGAGATAAAAAATCTAGTATACAATAAGTGATATTGCGGTAGAGGGATGTTTTTCAGCAGTTGGACAAAACTTTTACCAGGAGGCTATCGAAACACTGGAGTACCATCGAAACAAGAGTATTGATGACAATGAGAAGAAAAATAAAACGTCTAAATTAAGGGCTGTAGCATCAGTCGTTCCTACAATTGTAGGACGTCTTTATGGTATCCTTGAGTTTCAAAGATTTTCTCTCCAGAAAGGCTGGGGTATTTCTAGATGTCTACTATTTTGTGTCAGCATCCGCGCTCTCCTAATGTGAAAGTATATTTTCTTTTTGAATGGTAGAAAATATCAGGCTGATAAAATGAACAATTTTATGCAGATATTTGTGGCATAACCTCAAAATAGAGCGCTGACACGGGTCAGTAGAAAACTCTGAAAATCAAGCCATAAAGACGTCCTACAAAAATTTACTAACGACTGACGATCACTCCCTAAATGTAGCTGTACTGGAAAAGGGCCAGGGATGTAGCATATAGATCGACCTTCGTATTTGGAATATTATCTTTTCAATTCTTATTTTGATGATGTCTTAGCCTCTACTGTTTTTTTTTATTTATTTATTTTATTTTCATTTTAAGTCAGATTTCACTTTTGTGTCTTCAACCTGTGCAAGTGCATATGTATATGTATATTGGCGCCAATAACATTTTTAATTTGAATTTGAATATTTTCAAAGGCTTTTCCTTCCCGAATTATCTAATTAATCGCACATCTTCGACTATAAGTATACCAATAGTAGCAAACAAACAAGTGCAACGATTACAGATTGTAATCGTCCGACATATCGACCGTCTAAAATAGTAACCCGCTGACATTATTTGGCAGGCATCGATCAATCCATCCTATTGTGATTATATCAGTCCCGATTTAACCGGCATCGGGGTGTGTGACGATCGAATCGAGTGTGCCATTTTTTCAATTTTTTTCTGCTTATGCGACTCGAAAATGGCCGTCGACCTGCGGCTGAACAGGGTGAACGCCGATTCCGCGTGGGGGTTCAGGATCGTGGGAGGTGCTGATTTTGGAGAGCCGCTTATCGTCGTTAAGGTACCAAATTATTCTAATATTGGATAGTTCAGTGAAATTAGAGCTAAAATCGCAATATTTCTAAGCTGAAATACAGGTGGAACAATTAAACCAACGTTTTTGAAATATCTCAGACATTGATAAGTCCTCCAACTAAAATATAATTAACCTTATCAAGGTCTGCACCAAAAATCGTTCAACTTGAATCTTCAACGTAGGCAAGTTTTTAAAAATTGCATTAAAAAGAGGACGCCTATCATTCTTTAAGCATAAAATTCATCTCCGAAAACGTTTTGCTTTGATTCGCTTTATCTCATATACTGTGCTTTTGAGGTTGCCTGAATGAAATGAGTTATACAGGGTGTTCTACAGCTTATCCGACAAGTTTTAAAAAAATGTAATAAAAGTCCTACAGGAATCGAGATAATAAAATAATACAGCTTAACAGGTCATTTACTTAAAAAAGCTGTTCAAAATTGTTTCCATTGACTGCAATGCAAACTTGGGTGCGTCTAATGCAATTTCGGCGGACTAATTCAAATACAGCTCCTTCCTGCTGAGCCTGAAGGCTCAAATTATCGGCAGCCACTGTGATTCGGTCACGCAGTTCTTCAATATTCTGAACTGGAGTACGGTATACCTCGTTTTTCAACTATCCCCATAAAAAGAAGTCCAGAGGATTTAGATCAGGAGACCGTGGGGACCATGCAATTGGTCCACCCCTTCCGATCCAGCGTATCTGGTATACCTGATTCAAAAAATCACGAGCTTATAAACGAAAATGCGGAGGTGCCCCATCGTGCAGAAACCACATCCGTGCTCGGACCGCCAATGGTACATCTTCAAGAAGGACCGGCAAATCATTCTGAAGAAATTCGACCGTTCTTCATTCAGATCACCCACGATACAGATTAAACCTTAGTTACACGTTCTTATCAGTATGAATAAACAAAAAATTCCTCATATTTTGTTTTCGTCAGTTATTTGGTACAACAGTTGCTACAATAAATTATTAATGCGTGTTCTACTATCACGGCGATGAACGCAGAGTACAAATATTTATTTTTCAATTTATCATTGAAACTCAGGTTTACAACTTAATTTTTGTAGGACTTTTAATACATTTTTTTTTTTTTGAGTAATCAACTTCTTTCGTGACAGTGCATATGTGATTAAAATTTGTCAGATAAGTTGTGAAACACCCTGTATATCGATAAATTACGTAAATACCAAGACCGTGTAATTGCCCCATTTTACAAACTGCACAATTGGAAAACAACTCACTGCTAGAAAGCTGAGGAATGGACGTTACCTTTTCGAATAATTTTCAAAAATTCTTGACTTAATGTATGATGTTTTGTGGAAGCCTCTATTAGTTCTTGGAAGCCTGTGCACGTTGGGACGATTTATTGCTCAGCCTGTATCTCATTCTAAAGGATGATTCAAGAATCAATTGCAATATTTCTAGACCAGAGAGTACATCCAAGAATAACATAAAATATTTCTATAAACATTTTGCTGTAAATGTTTATGATATCCTAAGTCAGGTAACGTTTTCCTATAATATAGCACCCACAATTTTTAAATGCCTACTACTTCTCTAGGGGGCAAGGTTTTTTTTTAAAAAGTGGCGTTTTGAATAATTTTTTTTTCTCATGTCGGAACCATCCCTGATGCCACAGTGATATTTTTTCCCTACTTAGCCCTATAGAGAAAAGAGTATACAACAATGGAAAGCTTTTCGGCAACCTTTTGATTCTTTTTACTTGTTAATTCTTTGAATTGAGGTAGTTCCGAAACTATACATTTTTTCAATAATACCACCAAGTTTACCATTATCTTAACAATTAATATGGCGTTTTAAAGTATTTCGAGAAAAAGTAGGGAGTAGATTCAATATGAAACTAGACCTATTATCGAATTTCTATATAGTCGGCTATTTTTAACGTCTGGTTGGTATTAAGTGCAAAATGGGTGATGAAATGTCCACGACTTCACAATTCTTCACGAGATACTGGACTGGAAAGTTAACCTGTCGTACTAGGAGAGTAGCCATTACGGTTATGGGAGCTTCAACCGTATTTTTTGCTTCGATTTGTCGGTTATAAAGCACCCCAAGGTAACCTAAGGAAACCTCGCTAAAAGTCTGTTTCATAGATACAGCCTAGAGTGAAGACCCTGGAAACCTGAACCCGATAAAAAATTGAGACAAATAAAAATTGGATAGTAACGATTAAAATTCCAGGATCATCACACACACTACACCATCAGATAAACTGACAAAACATTAAATTGGTCATCAATATCACTGAATGGCGATCGTTTTACGAAGAATCTATCTTTGTGACAGGAAATGTTGATAACTACACAACTCTTCATAATATTACCGATTACCAAAAGTAGTATAAATGATTCTGAAAAGATTTTTTTTCCATCTCGCCACATTTGTATGTCTAATTATAATATCATTCTATACATACATACATGTAAGCAAGCTTAATTGCAGCATTTAATTTGGTTAATAGATAGTATAGTATTTTTTGAGATCCAAATCCAATAAGTATTTTAGAATAGTTTTCCTATAAATAAAAATGATAATAATATATGAATATCAGCATGCAAAAAACCGTTTAGCTTTGCCCTTGTAATCAAATTGTTGTAAATTGTATTTGACTAATGAAATACTTGTTGTAAATAGGTCAACGAGAATAGTTTGGCAGAAAATGCCGGAATGATGGTGGGTGACGTCATAGTTCGGATCAACGACACACCTACTGCTGGACTGACACACACCGAAGCTCATGACCTCCTGATTGCTCAGGGCAACGAATTCGTCCTTGGTGTCAGGAGGTAAGCCCACAAATGTCTTAAATTTGTTGTATTATTTATAATTATACGTAAGCCTTCCTAGAACATATGAATGTTGATGTTTTCTATTCGTCATCGTCTGACAGAGCGGTCCGTAGGACCTTTGCTCTTGGTTGAAGTCTTGTAAGTCAGTAGGTCTGTCAGGTCTGGTTGCCCAGATACCAAACAAAGTCAGAGAGAAAGAAGGGAAGAAGAAAGGAAGGAAGGAAGGAGGGAGAGCAAAGAAAAAAGAAGTGCATCAATTTGGGGGGTGCCTTGGCATTGCTAGTTAGTATTCGGCAATTTTAAATTGATCCTAAAATTAATTTTGGGTGAATGTTGGTGTATCGATGTCTATGAAGTACTAAAGCCTTAACGGTACGCGTCCAGTGATCCGCAACGCCCGCATCAGATGCATTGGTTTCTTTGCAACCAAAGACCATGAAAATATGAACGTAGGCGCGTTAGAGCGCCAGCCAAATGGTTCTTGTTTCATAGTCATTAACATACAGTTTTATGGGATTCAATTTAATTTCTTTGGTCGTGTACATAGAAATTTCATTTATACAAATTTAATCATATCAGTATCATCAATACTTATACATATACAATGCAAACACGGCTTTCTCTCTGCAAGCAAGTAAAAAAAACCGGCAATCTTTATAGTGGAGAACTACGCTCAAGTTCAAAATAAAAGCAACAATAAAACTTTTGATTAACTGCGTAACGTCGCAACTTTTTTATTTTTTAACCGATTTCATTGACTACTTCAACAGATGGTAGGTACACTAATTGACTTTATTGTACAGATGTGAAGACTGCAATGCTTATCAAAAACCACATTTTCTATATAATCTGATTTTCTACTCACATCAATATAAGCAGTGGTTGAAGTTTCAGAATTAACTGAAGATTCTAAAACCAATTTTGCTTCTTCCTTTCGTAACTTTTTTAATTCCCGTTCGACGTCAAAAAGATTGTCATCGAGTTGTAACCTTTGTGTGTTCGCCTAGGTTCGACTCTAATACTGTTTCTGCTCGGTAAAGCTGCTGATCCACATCTTCACGGACGACAGCACTTTGCGTGCGGACATTCAGAATATCAAACTGAGCTTTGGAGGCCTACAGGTATGCGTGCTAAGTTACATTCTCGACGACACCTTTTGTTGGGTAAAATACAGTAATATGGCTTTGAAGGCGTAAAATAATTCTAATTAAGATTTGTCCTACATTCATTTTGTTCCAAAACAACCAGTCTCGCTAGAATTGTCAGGTACACAAAGTTGGAGGATCAGGGAGATTTATGGTTTGTCTGTACAGTCTATTTGCTGACAATCAGCAAACTAATCGGCGGCGAGAAGTCGTGACCTAGTTTGCGTACAAGAGAACGTTACGAGTTGGCTGAGGCAGGCAAGACCGATTACCAAGAAGTAATCCGCTGTTTGTACAAAAACTTCTGACTGTTTGATGACTGTCAAATTAGTCAGCATATCATTTGCCAGTAAATTAAGTACAATCATTTTTCATCATTATTCGAACGTAAAATGTTTCAGAATGAAGTAGACAATTTTGGAAAAGTTAGCGTATGTTCATTTGCTGTAAACCAGAATGATCTAGGATTTTTCGTCCATCTGCCCGAATGTGCCCGAATTCTCCTCTAGAGATGAAAACATGGACACTTTCTAGAAAAAATAAGAGCACCCAAAAATGTCAAGTAGATTTACTCAGTAATTCCCACTCAAGTCTCATATAAAAATATGATTCCACAAATCGAATGACAAGTAGAAGAAGTAAATACATAGTAAGAATTCTGAATAAACGTCTGCAGTGATTATGCATGAGAAATGTACTCGTACTAAGTATTGTGAATGACTTTTAATAAAACTCAGATAGTAGGGTTTTTGTTCCATTGTCGCAAAGCCTCGAAGTGTATGCACAAACAGTATTTATATATTCTAGCTATATAAGTCCAACCCAAAGCTGATGAAAAAAAAACAAAATAACGAATTCTGGAGATTTTGTGATACAGCTTTTTTCCACCGGTGCCCACGGAGAGGGAGTTTCTGCTGTTGTGAAAATAATATCTTCCCTATACAAGATATTTTAAATTCGACCCTTACCATTGGGATCTCGAAAACTTTAAGGATACGAAGTCGCTTAAATGATTGACTTTATTTATGGTGGGATTTCAAAATAAATTGCACATCAACTCTGATACATTTTCTCCTCTACAAGACGGCACAATTAGAATTTCAATATGACGTTTCGTCTCTTGTCCTCCAGCGTCACATGAATAGAATTTTTATTCTTCAATAATGTATATGTCATACACTGGCATTGCAAAACCTTAGTTATTCCAGAAGTTTCTAGGTAGGCCTTGAAATTAGATTTCATTTGTTTGCATACTAACAGAGTTTGGAAAACTGAGAATACCTCTGCTCATTCATGGTTGTTATTGTTATTACCGTCAATAAAATTTTCATTCCGTGTTAAACTTCACCATAACTTTTTATTTCCTTAAAATTTTCATCCAGTAACAAATTTATGGTCAACTAACAAAATATATCACTTAATTTAGGGCTGGAAAGTTCATATTATTATTATTATTATTATTATTATTATTATTTAAATGTACAAAATTCAAATATAGTATCCGTATGAAAAAAAAATTGATGATGGTCGAAAGAAGAAATGTCGAATTGAAAATTTGACTAAGCCGTCTTGTAGATAAGAATAAGCAACAATAACAATATGCCATTTATTTTGAAATCTCATGTCAAATAAAGTCAGAAAAAAGGGGAGCGGTTTTGGGATAAATTTGGTGAGCGAAACAAGCATCTGATAATTTCAAGGCCTACCTAAGAAATTGTTTGATTTTTTTTGTTTTTTGAAGTAACTGAGGTTTGGCAACGTCAATGTACCTATGACGTATTATGCATTTTTTGAATCAAAATTAAAAACTATTTATGTGTGCAAAAATGCAATATATATTAAGAAATAATAAAGTTGATGCTAAGGACAAGAGACGAACCGTCATATAGGAATTCTGATTATTCCTTTTTATAAAGACTGTTAATATGGAATTTAGTTTAAAATCCGAATATAAATAAAGTCAGGAAAAATCAAAACGATTTCGGGAAAATTCAGTTTTTCCGTCACTCTCCGGAAGTATGTACTTTTGATTTCGGAGCTTTCTAAGTGCCATTTTGTTAACTACCCCATTTAAGCGACTTCGTATCCCTTACAGTTTCCAAGAACCAAAGGGTGAGTGCCAAATTAGAAGCACACTGTATATGCAGACTCTCACTAGAAGAAAGAAGTGAAAATACTACAAGGACTTAATAACATCTTTGAGTAATAAAGGGTGTTATACACTAAAAAGCTAAAACAGCTGAACATAACTACAATTATCAAGATCTGCTTACAATAGCTATGTTTCACAGAAGTCAACATGGACAAAAAGAACTGAGACTACCAAAATACATATTAGTAAGACTGAAATCGCGTAATTTTGCATTTTGCAACTGTAACAAATATTTTCAAAAGATTAGTGATCACAAAAATCGTATTAATTTTGGTTTTTGAAATTTATGTCCTCTATTGTTCGGATTTTTCATACTGTATTCATAATCTTCATTTTTCCATTACCGGGTTAATAAACAAAATATTGACCACAAAGCACTTTGGCGCTGGCTGATATTTAAAATGGGATTTCATTAAAATTTCTTCTGCCACTTGCTCTCCCGAAAATTTTACAAAAACTTGTTTCTGTTGTATTGTGGCACTGTTTTCTCTACAAAATTCAGGTTTTTGTGTTTCTTTAGCTCCTCAGTAGATCTTCAAGGTCTTCTTCTTCTTGGTATATCGCTTAGTTTTTTTACACCGAAGCAGCCGCGCAGGTGAACGCTACATGCCAGGGCACTGCGGCTGCTTTGAGGAGCTTAAAGAAACTTTGATATTCCTATTTTTGAATTGCCTAAAGCTATTAGAACTGAGAAAAGCTCCTCATGTAGATTGTTACACGATCTCGACGCCATCGTGACAAAGGAGCGGTCTTATCGGCCTGTTCTAGATGTACGAAGTTCGACACGGTTACGATGGTAGGTCGATGTCAGGCAGGCACATCGCGCGGCGACACCATGGAAGAGAGCACTGAGGAGCAAAGACCGTTAGCGTAGCTAGATAGGAAACGGCACGTCGGTGTCCCCAGACCGTCCATTAGAGAAGGGTAAATCGATCATTAAATGCCTCTTGCGAAGCAACTTTTGTCGACACACTCTGATACCTGTCACTGGTTGACTGGTGTCCTCTGATCTGTCAGAAGGTTCTGTACGAACAGCGGATTAGCTATCGCCCTGTAGACAGGGAAAAGACAAGTAGTCAGATTTTTGCTCCTTAAAAATTCTGAGAATTTTCTGAGAGAAAAGGCGAATTTAAGATGGAGCGTACGTCCGACGGGTCACCAGGCGACCCCTCCACCACAGCGAGTGGAGAAGAAGTAAAAAGCGGCGTACCTAAGAGATTGCAGCTGCAGATACTGAAAGAGACACCAAAAAGGAGAGGCTATACCAGATAATCGCTGACCAGGCAGCTCAAATCAAGAGACTGACGGACTGCATGGATAATCTCAATGCCCAGGCTTTTAGCCTTAGTACTTCTTTAAATAAATTCATGTCCCGTGATGACAGTTCTATTAAAATTCCCAAGAGAAAACGCAACAGCCCTACCTCACCCACAGAGACAGAAGACGACGTATAGGGTAGTGATTTTACCCCTATCCAGAGACGTAAAAAACGACAGATTCGTGAAATTAACGAATATCCTTCCCTTCCGACTAAGAAATCCCCAATCAATACCAATTCAATGGAGATAACACCGCCTGTGTCTGTTTTTTCTGCTGATTCTGCAAGCCAGCTAAAGCATTCTCAAATGCAAGCATCTGGCTTAAACGAAAGTCGTAACTCTATTTCAGTCTCACAAGCTGCTTCCTTGGTTGGCAGCAACACTACATCTCCGTCATCTAACGCGACCCTCGGCACGCAGGCATAGTCAGCCCGTCAGGGGCGTGTTACACCTGTTGTGCTGCGAGATGCGGCAAAGTGGCGCACTGTCAACTATTCTTCTATCAGTCTTGGTACTAAGATTGATCGAGCAGTAGCTGTTGATGCTGAGATACGCATCGTACCTAAAAGCGAAGACGATTATCGGAAGATAATTCGTCTTTTCAAAGAGAAAAATGTTCCTCACCATACATTTCACTTGCTCTCTGAGCGTAACATTCATGCTGTTATCAAAGGAGTCTCAGCGTCAACTGCTGAGCAGGAAATCAAAGAGGAGCTCGAACAGAAGGTATATACTCCCCTCCACGTAATTAGCTTGAAGCGCAACAACGTCGTGCCCATGCCTTTGGTGGTGGTGATCCTGCCCAAGACAGCGAAGTCACACCAAGTGTTCAACGAACATGACCTGCTGGGGCTCTTTATCAGAGTTGAGGTTGACTCAACTCATTGGGCAGTGTCACCGCTGTCAGAAGTATGGACACGCGCAATCGTATTGCACTGCACCTCCAAAGTGTCTCAAATGCGCTCAAGACCACATGACACATCTGTGCCCTCAAACAGGAGAAGAGGCGCTCAAATGTGCGAACTATTTAGGGGACCATCCGACCAACAGTTATACCTGTAGATTCACTCCTACGAGAAATCTACAGGACATCGCACAAAGGCGAGTAGGATTATACGCAAACGCAGCAAAGATTGAAATTCTAGCTGCCTCTGCTGTCCCGAGCTCACCTTCGACTGCTCAAAACGTGGACCTGGCAACAGCGTTAAGGTCCTGGCAGCAGATAATTAGTCCCCTGTTAGCGCTACACAGGCCTTGCAGGCGATCTTTCCGATAAATGGCTAGGTACAATAGTAGACAGCCAGCATTCATCAAAATTCTTTTCTGGAATTGTTTGGGTCTTAGGGATATTCCCAAAAAACGGGAATTTCATCAAGTACTTTTGGATGAGAGTATAGACGTGGCTCTATTGCAGAAAATATTGCTTAATCCGGGAGATCGTCCAGCTTTCCCGAATTATGATGTTATCCGAGCTGATAGATTAACTGGACGGGGTGGCGGCTTGGCAGTCCTAGTGAAACGTGGTATTGACTACCATAGAAGCACAAATTCCGACATGCAGAGCATTGAGGCGGCTTCCGTGGAGGTTAATATGACGGGAGGTGTCCCGTTGAAAATCACATCGGTGTATGTCAGGTGTGGTGCCATTCTGCAGGAGGCGGACCTGGAAGTCCTTATGGACTACTCTGGTCCGCTTATTGTAGCGGGGGACTTCAACTGCAAACACAGAGCATGGCATTCTAGGTTGAATACCACCAGTGGGATTCGACTGTACAACCATGAGATACGAAACGGCTACCTTATACACAATATTGGAGAGCTCACGCCCCACCCATTTAATCACCTTCAGGCACCAGATGTCATTGACTTTGCAATATCTAGAAAATGTAGATACAGTATCACTTCTCGAATCATGTATGACTTTTCTAGCGATCATCTTTCTGTCGTACTGGAAGTGGGTAATGAGCAAACCTTGGGAGAGGAAACTTCTCCAAGAAAACGGGTTGATTGGGAACTATACAAGTTGTTTCTCAAAGAGTTCCCCAATATCCCGATCATAGATGATCAGAACGGTATAGACGCGGCTCAAGCGGAGTGGACAAGCTTCGTTCAGCAAGCTCTGCAGCGTGCAGCTGTAATTCCTGTACAACAACACGGCAGACCTTTTCTCCTTGCAGATATTCGTCAGAAAATTTCTGACAAAAGGGCTGCAATTAAGCAAGCGAAAAGGTCTTGTCATCCTGATGACATTCGCAGAGCGACGAATCTTGTTCATGAAGTAAGAAATGCTCTCCATGAATTCCGCAATGAGCAATGGAATGATTTTCTGGCGGGGATGCTTGACTCAAGTACTCCTCCCTGGAAAGTGGCGAAGTCGCTCAGAAACGGAAAGCGAGAACAACTCCCACACATCCACGGTCCTGGGGGCATAGTCTTCAGGACAGAGGACAAGGTCGAGGTTTTTGCTGATGCTATTGAATGACAGATCTCTCCCAACGGCGTCAGTGATGTCGGCACCGCCATTAGTGATTCTTCCTCAGAAGATTCTTTTTCGGAAGATTCTTCAGCTGAAGAGTTGCACAGCACATCAGCGGCTTCTCCCGAGATCCGACATTGCACACCAGCAGAGCTTCAAGATCATATTAAGAACCTCAAGGTGCGTAAAGCGCCTGGGGAGCATCAAATCACTAATAAGGCGCTGAAGCTGCTTTCACGGAAGTCCTTGACTTATCTCGTGGCTATTATCAATGCCATGCTAAATACTAAATACTTTCCATCGGCGTGGTAGACTGCGGAAGTTAAAATGATTCCAAAGAAGGCGGGTTCGATATTTCCTCAGGACTATCGTCCCATCAGCCTACTGTCTGCTCCATCTAAGCTCGTTGAAAAGGTGATTACGTCACCTTGCGAATTTCTCATCAGATCACAATGTGATTCCTGACGTGCAATTTGGATTTCGGTCTGAGCATAGTACGAAGTTACAGGCGGTTAGGCTTGTGGAGCAAGTAACCAGGTGCTTCACCCTTAACGAAAGTACTGGCATATTGCTTCTGGATGTCTCGAAGGCATTTGATAAGGTGTGGCATAAGGACCTTCTCTATAAACTAGTTCAAAAAGGCTTTCCATTTTGGCTCCTAAAACTATTGAAATCTTTCCTTGAAGGTAGGAAATTTCGGATCAAAATTAATAATTCCTTGTCGACAGTACGGCCCGTCAAGGCCGGCGTCCCTCAGGGTTCGGTTCTAGGGCCAATCCTTTACTCACTTTTCACGCATGTCCCTTGCCCTAGCGACTGTGAAGTCTATCTATATGCTGCTGAAACTGCACTGGTGGCCCAGTCGCGTACCGGGAATCTGGTTCACGACAGGTTACAAAGTGCGGTGGATGAGGTATTGGAATGGGCAGATCGGCGACTAATCAAAATTAATTACTCGAAAACGCAGCCTATCTATTGTACTAAAAAACGTAGCGCCGCCCCGACTGAGGTTTCAGTGAATGGAGCTCGCATACCATGGGAAAATTCCCGGTGTCACTCTTGACAGGGGGTTGACCTGGCAGAATCACAGTGAAGCGTTAAAAACTAAATTCCAAATTACGTTTCGGCAACTCTACCCTTTACTAAGTAGAGCCTCAAAATTAAGTTTGGTTAACAAAGTTCGGCTATACAAGATAGTTATCAGACTAGCAATCACTTACACATGTGCAGCATGGTGTTTTCTTGCCAGGACGCATTTGCGTAATCTGCAGGTGTGCACCATGGTATGTCTCCAACGAGACCCTTCACAGAGACCTCGACATCCCTTACATAAGCAACTACATCAAACATCAGGTGCAGTTACGTTATAGTCAAGCGGAATCGTACAGCAACCGTCTGTTGCGTGAGTCAGTAGACTACACAGTCGAGCAAGTTCGCAAGCACATAAGATCGCGGCTCACACTGTGATCAAAATGAAATCGTGCAATTCTATATCCAACCAAAATTACGATTTTTGCCACACACAAATTCCTAAATTAATTTATGGATTAATTTAAATTAACCGAATACAAGCTAACAATAGCAAGGCATGCCTTTAACCGGTGCACTTCACCCTCTTTGCTCTTCCCCCTTCCTTCCTTTCTTTCTTCTTTCTTTCTCCCTGACTTCGTCTGATATCTGGGCAACCAGACCTGACAGGCCTACTGACCTACGATACTTTAACAAAGAGCGAAGGTCCCACGGGCCGCTCTGACAGACAATGAGGAATAGACAGTGGTTTAGCTGTCGGCAGACAGTCAGCAACTGTACGAACAGCTAATATCTCTCTTATTCTGATTTTGAAAGTCACCGACAAGTTACTGACTGCTGTACGAACAAACCAATTGTTACTGCACTGACACTGTAGTTCTGTGAAATTATCATACAGCGAGTTCTTAAATTAATTCAAAAATCTTAGTTTTCTTTGTTACTGTAGATAAATGGCATCAGATTTGAAAAATATGAACCTAACATAGAAAGGCCATAGATTTCGGTACAACTTGGTGAAATACTTTTTGGATTCGTACAGGAATCAAAAAAGTTACGGATGGAGGAAGGAAAATTGGATGCAAAATGTCAATTTGCCTCTAAAGCTTAAACCAGTGTATATATTTACGTGAACAAGAAACTAGATTATAAAAAAAGTGTGGTTCCTGATAATGGAATGCATTGCGGTCTGATTGAAAACTGCATTCACACCATAGAGTGACTCAAAGTTGGAGTAATGGAACATCGTTTTGGTTTACCCTGTATAACAAGTTGAACCGTGACTACAATCAAGAACTCATATCTACATAGCAGTGACAATAAGTGTACCTAGCGCCTGGCGAAAAAATTAATAAAATCAAGATAAAATTAAAAAAATTATGATGTTCTGGATTTTGCTAAAATCTTGCTCGTTGCATTTATTTTGAACCTCAGTGTAAATATCATCTATCAACTATATTATATAGATCTTTTGCATCGACAAAGTCGGTGCATTCAGATGGCGCCGTATTTAAAGACGCACCCCATTAGTAGTGGTGTACAATATGTTACGCTACTCTCTCCCATTTTGGTACCAGACTATAACATGTTCACACAGTTTTTTTCTTGTCTAAGTAATAATGTCCATTTTTTAAATATCCCAGTCAAACGGCTCTAAGAATTCTGAATTATTTAAAATTTTATATAGCAAATATTCTGATACAAACAAGAATTTATGAGTTGTGCCTGATTTTACTTCATCACTATATAGTTTTACTAATTATATGATACTTTTAGGGGGAGCATGCCGAGCCATATTTTCCATGTAAGTATATACTACTGTCTAAATATTCAGTTCATTCCCGCTTAATCCAGTACGTTCTATGGTCTATTTTAGGAAGAGATCGATGAAGAGTTCGCTAACATCAGTAAACATGTAGAACAGTCTATCGAAGGAAACTATGAGGAGCAATACAGTTCCATGGTTAAAGAAGCAGAACGAACGATCGATCAAGATGTGCTAGATGAAGCTATTCAAAGGATTAACGAATACAACATTCAAGGTAAGACTCTTGATCGACATACAGGGAAAATCAAATTTGTCTGACGGCTTGAGTTCAATGTGTAGGAGAGAGAAGCGCGAGAAGTGTGTATCGATACATGTTAGAAAGGGATAGAAGCCGGCAGAAGGACAAAGACCACATTGCCTAGCAACGGTGACTCAGTAGGCCGTGCAATCTGCCGCATTGCCAATACGCTACACCAGAAAATGTTCGCACATGTTACGTTACTGTATAACCTAAGAAGGAGGTCTGATCGATATTCTGTTTTTATTTTGATTAGAAATACTTATTTCAATTTTGCTGAGACCTAATGTTTTAATTTAATTCAAAATTATCCTTGATTTACCATCGATGGGTATAAAATTAACACGTCCTGAATTATTGTTACATTTTGCGCCAGCAAGCGGTCTGAAAATATAACAAATTCCATTACGCAAAACAAATTATTTGTGACTGCGTGTACGCAGGTGAAACGATTTCTATGCAGGACGACACTCCCCATTGAGCGCTGAATGGGTACTGACCAAAATCGCTCATCTATGATCATTGAGATGGAAACCTTGCCTTGGAATATATGAGATGCGGTGTTGCCGAGCGAACCAATCATGCAATGTTGCAGAATTTGTGGTGATCTTGACCTTTCAATTCGACCTAAAATGAAACGCCGTTAGGACCGATCTGGATTCGATCCTAGTAAAACCATTATTTGGGCGTAGAGAATAAACTAACGCATATTCTCAACAAGCATCTTAATTCAAGGAATTGGTGTAACATATTGGCAACGCGGCAGATTGCTAGGTAACGCTTCGGTATCCAGCCGTCTTCTATATCTTTCTAACATATGTGTCTATACACACTTCTCTCTTGTACCGTCAGACAAATTTAGTTCTTAGTGTATAAGTAAAATGCTACTGTTATGGGACATGAAACTAAATCAAGCTTTTGGAGTTTCAGTAATTCTATGAGCTAAGGACGAAACTGAGTCTGATTTCGACCCGACATTTTTGTTAGATTCTAGTTGCGAAATGTAGTCTATTTTCAAGTATATAATCCATGTTCAGTGGATCAGTTAAAATATTTTAAGTTTTAGATTTATGGCCACTTCAAGGAAATCAATCGACAGGAAAGTGAAAGTGTAACCAGGAAACTGAGGAAAAACTCAAACGAAATTAACGTTCATTCATTATTTATTTTACAAAAAATATATGCTTCTAACCATTAATTTAAGATAGTCCAAGTATCTTAAACAGTAATTAAAATTGGGCCTACTTTTGGTTAATACTAATTCTATACTTACACCAGTCTGTGAAACGGGCACCTTAATCATTATGGGTACTATAAAAGTTTTACAATATGACAAACAGGCGCAGGAGGCTGCATGTCGCTGTACGTTGGGACATGTCCATGAGTGCATAGTAGTTGCCAGCAGCACGTCTGTTGATTTAGTTGTACATTCGTATTGACAGTGTAAAGTGCGGACTATGGCATTGTGATCACGTAGTGAGATAAGAGCAGTTTTACGGTATAACTTTACGCGTGGTTTAAGCATAGACCATTTCTTAGAAGAAATGACGCTTGCATTAAAGAATGAATGCCCTCATCGTACGACTATGTTTAGGTGGTACAGAGAATTCCATTCCGCATGTGAAAATGAAGCTAAAACGAAAACGGTTTTCCAGCGATGAGGACCCTCTGAGGGCTTGGGACAACGAGTGTCCCGCACTGCCGGGTGAAACTTGGAAGAGCTGGCTTAAGAACTGGTTCTAGCGGATGGAAAAGTGTATTGAATGTGGTGGAAATTACTTTGAACGAAGTCAATAAATAAAGCTGTATTGCAAAACTTTTATAGTACCGTTTGTATTATCTTTGAGATTTAAGTAGTGGCTCTAAGACTCATCATATAAGGTCTCTTTTTATAATTACCTATTGATAATAATATGTTTTTAAACGACATTTAAATCTCGTAAGTATAACAGAAATCAATAATCAACAACAGCTTTAAGATATTATGTATAATCACAGTCAGCTAAGTAGTCAGGGCATATACATTTTATACAATCTATAGATTCGCCTTTAATGCACTCAACCTGTGCCCAATTATTACATACTGGACCCAGTCATTTCCTGACATATCTTCGCTATAGAGAACACAAATGAAACACTAACAATTCCTGGATCCATAGTTTACTTATTTTTTCTTTACTTTCTTTACATTTATACTACCTTGAATTATTCTTATTAATTTTTTCTCTCTTGAGTAGGTATATCGTTTTATATATTACCTCCTCCACAACTTTTTTTTTCGATTTTTTTAATCCTGGCTCTCCTTTGATCTTTTTGTCATTAGCTCTTCAGACTGGTCTTGAAAGACAGTAGCTGAGTCAATTTATAAATCTGGCATAGCCTCCAAAACTATAGTGGGTAGCTAAAAAGTTTCAAATTATCGCGCACAATATAATCTCTCAGTACCCTGAGTCTTGATCTGACAAGTTTCTGAAATTATACAGAACTAAGTCTTCGTGTAAGCAACTTACACATCAAATGCTAAAATTACCATATTATATACGAGTATATATTTCGTAAGTAAATATATTACCAGGATTCTGTGAACTAGAGCGATTACGACGCGACTTCCTCTGCCGACTGTGCCGCGCTAAGTAAACTAGGTGCAAAAATATAGGTACTACTCTTTGTCTCTTCAGTAGGTGCAACTGACTCGGCTGAACAACTACACTCGACTGATAGGATATCAGATATTCGCTTATTTTTTATTGATCAGGTTCCTGATTCATAAACGTTGGGACAAATTCTGGAAATGGATTTTATAATATTTTTTAAACTTTAAAAATATAATAACGTATATCCCAGCCAAGAAAAAATAATAAGTGCTTATCTATTTTGGATTAATTTATGGACTCAATGTCATAGTAATGTCACATTACACTGTTGATTAGACTTTGGTTGAGGGAAACTGCAGGTTGACATTTTAAATAGAATTTTCGTCAAGAAAATAAATTTAAATCTAAAATTGTTTTCAGCTGCCAACTGGTCATACGAGGGATGTCTTTTAAGTTTTGCATATAGAAACATAGTAGGCCGCGCGGATCGAATGTCAGTACTGAATCTTAACCTCACTCTTTAGTAAACTTAAATTCAAAGTTTCACAACAATTAATACGTGCAGTGTTCTCACTACAGTGGATTTTTAAGTGTCACCAAGTCATTAGAAAAATGGAACTCAACCGAGAACATTTTCGCGCCATAATTTATTACAACTTTCAGAGACAATTATCGCAACAAGAATGCGTTGCTGAGTTACTGTCTGCTTTCGGCAACGAAGCGCCACATCAGTCGACAATCCGTTGGTATAGAAAATTCAAACGTGGACGGGTTACTGCGGATTGGTATACCACCATTTGTTTGCCAAAAGTCGTCACCGAGCTTCGAAAAATCAACCCCGAAAGAATCATCATCCTCTACCAAGACAATGCAAGCTCACACACAGCCCAAAAAACAAGGCAGTATTCAACGGAAGAAAACGTGGAATTACTGGACCATCCTGCATATAGTCCCGATCTAAGTTCTAACGATTTCTTTACTTTCCCGAAAATTAAAAACAGACTGCGTGGTCAAAGGTTCCAGTCACCAGAAGAAGCAGTTGAGCATTCAAAAATGCCGTTTTGGATCTGCCAGCAAACGAGTGGAATAAGTGTTTCGAAAATTGGTTCGTGGGCACGCAGATGTGTATTAATCTTCGTGGAGAATACTTCGAAAAAAAATAAAGTCATTAAAAACTACCTGCCGGGTTATTTTACTTCGATATGCAAAACTTAAAAGACATCCCTCGTATGTATGTTCTACAATATCTTATACAAATAAATTTGCTTGAATCAAATTTTTCATGATATTTAAGCAGAGCCGCCAAAAATTCCATCTATGAAATTTGACGACGATGATATTTTTCCAAACATCCTACAAGGAAGTCTGGGATGACACATATGTTACAGTACTTGAAACGGACTAATCGAGAAAAATAACATACGAGTGCCACGCTATGTATTTTGAGATAGACCAAAACTAAAATCTATTTGTCGAAAATTAGTTAATTTCTGTTGAAAGTATTCTCCTCCAGCATCAATGCACTTTTGTAGCCTGACCTTCCACAAATTAAATGCTTCTAAACAGTCAGTTTTTGGAATGCCTTCAACAAGCTGATTAATTGCTTGATAGATTTCCTCTTCGGACGAAAATTGTCGACCACGCAGAAGTCACACCTTGCCAAATCTGGCGAATAAGGCGGATGTTCAGCAATTTGATCTGGCGCTGGCGTCATCAGTAAGCTGATGTGGCACCCGTCTCGCAACAACTTCTTTTAGATGAAGATGATCATGCAAAATGCTGTGCACTGTTGCGGATCCTACCCCTAGAGTTGCCTCTATAGACGCATAATGGGCAGCGAGAATCTTCTTCAACTAGAAAATGAAATTTAGCATGTTTTCGGGAAGCACACTAGAACAAGGCCTACCACTACGTTCTTCATCAACTAATGAAACACGCCTTCTTTTAAATTCGGCGAAACATACTTGCCCTGGACGGACCTTCATTACCAAATGTCTGTTGTAACCGATCCATTGATGTTCAGCTAAACCGTCTTTAAAGTCATAGTAAATCATAGCGTGATAACTCTCTCAAGGTAACTCCATGTTTTGTCTTAAATTTGCTTACAGCACGAGTACTGTAAGACGCTAGCAAATGAACTGAATGTAGCGACTTGCTAATAAAGGACTGCACTGTTGCCGGTTTTAGCTAGTATAGTTAATACGCATATCAAAATATACAGCGTGCCCCTCGTATAAATGTAGTAGAGCATTTAAACCATTTGGATAGTTTAAATCAAACTTGCTTCTCTGTAAACTATTCTGATTAACTGATTCCATTTCTTTCTTCAACACTGTTACATCACATCTTTCTCGTTCATCGTCGTATGCAATTTCAAACTTCTCTGCTCTCTTCATTTCACATCCAGTTATAGGTACCTACCTACCTATATGTACTAATTTTGTTAAATATTTTCTAGATACTCTGGAGAAACGGATACAAGATCAGGTGGAAAGAACTCAACACACTGTAAGGTATGTGTATTGACTGACTATTTCGGAGGATGGGCTCAAAGACTCAGAACGAGTAAAGTGGAAGACATCTTTCTTCGTACAAAATTAAAGCTAAATTACTTACAAATTCTTGCTCTCTTTTTAGCGCAGAACAAATAATAAACTCACATCAAACTAGAATGGAGAAAATGCAACCTATTACCCACGGAATAAGAACAGATAAAAAATGGTCTACGTTTTTGCAGAAACCAGACAACCCCATTCCAAAGTCAAAAAAGAAGATTGAAGAGGAGGAACAAGAGGTAAAACATTTATTTTCAGTTTTGCGATGTCATTGCATCTTTATCTTTTTTGCAGGGCGAAAAATATACAGTAGTGATTCAAAAGCAGCCATCTAGGAGAAAAAGAAAAGAAATGCAAGAGAAAAGGGTACAGTTTTCTGAGGACGTTGTAAGTCTGTCTGTATGTCTGATCGCAAGCAACACATTTACAAAACACACATCTTTTGATAGCGGCTGACAAATTTTACATAAAAAACGTTTTTCAGACTGAAATGGAAATAGAAAAGGAAGAAGAAATCGAAGAAGATGACTACAGTGATACTATAGAAATCCAGCAGAGTCTTGATATCGAAGTAAATGTTGATGTTCAAGAAGAAGAGATTGTCGAGGTAGAAGAAGGATTAGTAGATTATGAAACTGAAGATGAAATAGACAGTCAGAATTTTGGCAAACGTGAGTTTTGAAAATATTGAAAATATGCTCAAAATAGTGTAATACGTAAACGTTATGATAGTCATTATTTAAATGGGTGATAGAGGATGTTAAAAGATGCAAAAAGTTTCTTATAACATGGGGTTCAAAATGGCATTTTTTTAGAGAAAAGCAACTTTAAAGTAAAATAAATCCGACAACGCCGCAAAACTATGCAAAAGGATAACTAACCACTGTTACCATTTGCGATCGATTGCCTTTTCAATAAGAGTGATGATGACCGTCACGCTCTTGTCAAGTGTGTTTTAAATATTCAATTTAAAGAAACATACTTTCTTACTGACTACAAATTTTGGCTTAACTTAGAAAAACTTAATGCCATTTATTTGTTAACTACCCAATTTAAAAACGTTTTAGATTAGATTATAAAAATTAGTAAGATTGTCGTGATTGTGGTCGATATAAAACACTTAAAGTTGTAAAGTATAAAGCCATTCAGACAAAAATCTATTGACTTTTGGACCATGGGTCATATGAACTTTTTGACTTGTTTTAACCCCCATATTACCCATTTCAATAATGACAACCATAATGTTTACACCCTGTATAACAATCATTGGATAAGTATTTAGAATTTGTTAAATGTGGTATATTTCAAACCTTGTTTATATGCTGTGTTAATGCTTTTATAACTGCTCACTGTATATCGCAACAATGACGCGCCCCTTAGCAATCGTGATGACTTGATGACCTTGTTACATTTCACTTCCAGGAGATACTAGTGAAGAAATAGAAGTTACTTACCCACCTCTATCAGAAATTAAAATAGAAGCTGCGGAAGGGAATACAACGACGTTAGAAGAACAGCTATTGGCTGTACAGAAACAACTCCAAGCACTTTCTATGCTACCTTCAGCTATCCAATTAACATTGGATGCTGTATCCAAACAGTTGGCTAGTATAGTTAGTACTAAAGAAGAAAAAGAAATGAATGGGGATATTAGTAAGTCCTCATCTGAAAGAGACGAGATAGAACTACAAGAGCAACTAACAGAAGAAGGTAAATCTGTCTATCTATCTTGATGAATACCTAATAGCATACTACCGTTTAAACCGTTGACTCTAGCGTCCGCATAACAAGATGTTGAAGATTTTCATGGAGTTACTCCCAAATTATTAAATAAGGAACTGAGTTTGAATAACAATCTAACAGTATAGTGTGAAATTGTTTATTTTTTTTTTAATTTGCAGAGCTTTTGGAGGATAGGTCATCATCCGAAATAGCAGAAGCTGAACCACATAAACAAAATGGTAACGATGACCATTCAAATCTTGGAGATGAGTTGGATGATGACTTAGAAATTGGAGAAGAGGAACTACGAGAGATTCTGGAGAGAAATGCCACTCCTGTGGAAGAAAAGGAGCAAGATCCCTTTGCAGGGATGACAGACGAGGAGAAGCAAGAAATTTTAAGGGAAGAGCAGAGAATAAGAGAAGAAGAAGAAAGGAAGATGAAGGAAGAAGAATTGAAAGCTAAAAAGCAGAAGGTAAGGGTTTTTGTCATGTTACATATATTCTTATTATGTCTAGTGACACTGTTAGAACTTTCAAGAATCTTATTTCTCTATCCCGAAAGCTTGGTAGGTAACAGGCTAACCACTGACTCTTTACTGGAACAAAACATCTCCTCCCGTCTCCATTGAATCAGTAAAATATGAAAAATGGGCTATAACGGCGACAGAAACGAGCCACGTATGCATGCGCAGGTGCATATTATTTCGGACCTCTTTGGATTTACATAAATCTCCTTGATTGCCATAGATTTTTTCGGGCTTCATTTCTATTTTCTTTTTTGACTGCGTGAGACTTGATTAGATTGCCTCAGATCTCCTTGAAAGCAGATCTGCTTTCAGTAGGACAGAAAATTTTCTTGGACGCATTCAGATTTCTGCCCACTAGGATAGCAAATCTCTAAGTTTAAGGTAGATACTATTTGATTTCCATTGATTTCCTCACAATGGGTTGAGAATGTCCTCCGCAGCTACCTCCTCGTCATAGATACATCCCGAGGAGGTTGCTATAGACACTTTGAGCGCCCAATTAATGTTTCTATACATGAAAACTTAAAAGCTGATCTACTTGACACTACCTCGTTGCCCTGGATACTTCCCTGAAGGTCGATATAGTCCAATAAGGAAATGTTTGGTGTGAATGAAATGTTGATATCATTATAGGGCTTTTGACCTAATGACTATGTAATAAGTCGATCTACTTGACAACATTTCATACAGCATAACACCCACACGACATTACATTACGCTTGTGGGCTCGTGTACAGGCACAAATTGCGTCTAAGTGTTTGAACTTGAGATGCATTTGTAATTCTATTCACGATTAGATCATTATTTTTATGATCTGGCGTTAGTGATTTATTTTGGAGGCAAAAAGAATGCACTTCCTTGCCAACAAAATAGGACGACTGGGAGGGAGGAAATAAATGTGTCTAGGACCGAAATAGGATTCATTATATTCGATTTTTTCCACGTTTTGTTTTGCTAGTTAGTGAGTGGAATCAAGAACATTTGTTTCTGTTTAGTGGTTTTCCGATCAAGGTTTCAAGATAATTCTCCTACTTTGTGTCGTTTCTGTTTACTGTTTGCTTGAACATTGCCAGGTATTTACACTGTATAGGGTGCTTGCTCAATACAGCTACTAATAAGTTATATATTTTTCAGTAAATAGAATTTACATTTCTAAGATGTGTACTAGTACTCCTAGCACATGAAACGGCTTCTCTCAAATTGTACCAAGAACACGGAGAGGTTAGGATTTTCAACAGTGATTTCTTTATTTTTAGAACACATAAAGTATTGACGTCTTTTCATTAGGCGTTTGTTCTATGTGTGTCTTATGTATTTCTTATAAGCACCTAAAATGGTTGCATCCATTTTTATAACATTTGTGGAGAGATATGTGGGAATCACTACTTAAAGTCCAGCTTTGATCCTCAGCATCACCAATACTTCACAGAAACGCAGGAGAGTTACCAGGATCTTCTCGTGCTCCTTGCACATAACCTCATCTCGTCAGCTGAAAGCCTCATGACTCATTATCAAAAATGTATGCAGTGCTTTTCAAAGCCCCCTATCTATTTTTTGAACGGAACAATGTAGTAAGTTTATATTCGGAATGATGAAAGTGGTGTATGAATATTATATTCGAACATAAAAACAACAGAACAACATAAGACCGCGAGTGCTTTTGTCACTCGACATCAGCAAAGCTTCTGGTCCTGCCATTGTACTGAAGCGTCTCTTCCAAATATCTTACGAATCCGGCACCTTCCCAGAAAACTGTAAATTTGCTCATATTCAACCTATTCCAAAGAAGGATCTAAGACCGACGCTTAAAACTAGAGGCCTATAGCTCGGCTTTCTGTTATAAGTAAGGTGAGGGAGGAGTGCACAAATCGCGAGCTTCTGGACTACCTCAAGCGTCACATCTTGATTAGCGACATGCAGTATGGTTTCCGGCACCAACGATTCACAGGCGTCCTCCTAGCTCACGTCACGCAGTTGAGAAAACTCATTTCATCTAACGGTGAGGTTCACGCTGCCCTTTTAAGCAAACTTCCATCCTGTGGCCTCCCAGAGAAGCTTTGCTGATGAAACATCCACCGGCGGTCTAGCTCTCTCCATGTTGCAGCCGCGCGATGTGCCTGCTAGACAGACCCGCCTGACTTCGGCCTCCCATCCTAACCATGTCGAACTTCGTACATCCAGAACTAGCCGATACGACCGATCCTTTTTCTCGATGGTGTCGAACGGTGTGTAACGATCTACAAAAGGAGGCTTTTCCCAGTTAGGCTAATCTTTGGCAGTCCCAAAATCGGATGAACAAATTCGCGCCGCCTTGAATCATTTTTTTAAATAGAACGGAGGGACCTATAATACCTCATTTTGAAGCTTGCTACGAGTACTTTGTAAGGGTCTATCTAAATGAGCGGTAAAGAACATTTATACCTTTTTTAATTAAATGTTTCATGACTTATTACGTATTTCGCAAGTTTCTTTCAAGAGAAAAAGTTTGATATACTATCGTTTTGATGATTGGTTGTCGAGTTATAAGCGATTCAGAGTAAAAACGCTCAACTTTGGCATTCTACCAGTTTACCATTTTAAGCATTCTATATTCTAGGGTCACAAGAAACACATAAAAAGTTTCAAAATAATTTATCTCAAGACCCCCGTTCCATTTAAAAAATGGTCCGACAACATGAAATTTTTTACTGCCAGTCTTACGCTAAAATATAGTATTCACGCATCAATCATCATGCTGAATTAAAGCTTATCAACTTGACACAGAAAAAGAGGGGGACGTTTTTGAAAAGCATTGTATCATAGTGATTGAAGCTGTCAAATTTTCTGAAATCGGTGCAGTTCTAGCACAGTTGTGAACGACACCAGTTTCTCAAACGTTGTTATTTCAGTCATTTGCGTATATCTGTCAAACTAATTCTTTTAGAACATGTCACAAAACCGTTCTCTTGTCTATGACCCAAATTACAAATACTATTCAGAAACATTAAAGTTTCTTCTTCTTCTTCTTGAAACCATGAAAAAATCACTAAACTGAACCAAAAACCAACAAAATTCCTTCCATCAGGCCAAGGTCGAGGAACCAGAGGAGTACGTCCCACCTATAATCCTCCCGGGTGGCATCAAGTGGTCGGACCCAGACGACGTCATGCCTGCCTTCAAGAAACAGATGACAGATGAGGAGATCGAGGAGGCCATTGCCAGTCATTTGGAAGTGATCGCCGGAAAAAGAAAAGGGTAGGAACTGCATCAGGTTTAATGCATTGATTCTTTACAGGTGGAACGTCTGAATGCAGCTTGGCCCTGGTCCGATACTAAGAAGCATGTCTACAGGTATTGGAATACATGAATAAGACATTATAAATGATTCTACTAAAGCTAAGTATCGTTGTCCCTTGGTCTTGATATGCCCTTCCCTATATACTGAGTACTGACCTTACGAAGCTTCTGAACGAGCAATATTTTTGTTGCTATAAATATGGCAACTATAGCCCACATATTGCAGCATATCGGCCAAATTTATCGGGTCTATCGGCTATATTTCGGCTAGATGGTGGTGGCAGCTTACATTGCGCTATATTTATACCCATTTTAGAGTCAGCAGGAATAAGAAAAATTTTGGTCAGACGCATGCCCACTAACAAAACAGCTGATTCACCCTGTCGTTTTCTTGCTACTTCCAGGGTCTTGCATGGAAATCAATCAGTTGGATTTTTCATGCAACTTTGTCTGCAATTCTGGTAAATTGTTAGTAACTTTCGAGTCACCCATGCATGCAAATGTCCCTAGGCCGGAGCGCTGGTTTGTATGCTTATGTTTAACTGTTAGAAAGATATACGTTCGATTATGTTTTGATGTTAGGTGGCCGGCGATTGAAACTAGTTTTTTGATATTGAAACCATCTGTTTTGAAGGGTAAAAACCAAAACCAAAATTATAGGTTAGCAATGAGACAGGGATCATTTCATTGCTCTGGGGTAGCTGACTATGCTCATTTGAATCGAGGAAAGAGAGCAGTTTAGCGAATGCAAGCGCTTGCACGCTCTGGCGAACTGTAAGACGGTTGCAAGTAGAATTCCGATAGTTCGGCAATCTGACAGCAATTCATAAAAATAGTTCCGAAATGGCTATTCTCTATTGCAGCTAGATAATGCAGTAAAAATATTGCCCTCTTAGAGGCTCCATTCAATTAGGTTGTGATGATGAGATTGAGAATGTCTTGCTAAATTTATCCGACATAACAAAAGCTTATTGTTGGAAAGGTATAACCAAAATAAGATACAAAATACACCACACTATCTGTAAAACTGATCTGTACAAACAGAGTTTGGGAATATAGTTCATTAAAAAGCAAAAAAAATAGTTTCTAGAATATTACCATAATATACTTTGAGTTTTGTATGGCAAAAGATGACAATCTACCAACAATCCTACTTTATAATGTTGAAATTCCTGGATGTGTTATCTGCGTGCCATATCATTTATGATTTTTCAGAACAGGGTTATGAACACGATCTTTGTTAAGGTAAGCTTATTTGAAAAAGTACTCGTAAAATCAAAATCGTTATATCATAGTCAAGCTTAAAACCCTCATTACATTAACTTATTATTGATTTATATAATTTGATTGAACCGCTACTTAACTTTTTGACAACGTTTCAAATCATCAAACAATCCATTCTTCATATGTACTCCTATATAATATCTCAAAGATTCATCATAAGCAATTCTACAGTATGACAAACAATTTAGTTGAACTTTTTTTCAATGGTAAGTTTTTCAAAGAGCAATCTGGATCCTGAAAAGCTGCAAAGGTAATATTAACGATTTATAGATCACTCTCGCGTCCAAAAAGCAAACAGTAGATGAACAACATTTTATAAAAATGTGAATAAATGAATAAATTTGTTGTACTTCTGTCCCATTTTTTCCAAGTGAATTCAATCGTACATGTTGGTGCATGGACAAATAGATACTTCAAGCGCCTGAGGCATCAAATTGTGAAGTAAAGTATTTTTCTTTCAGCATCAATTTCAAGAAATATGAACCACCTCCGAAGAGCTTAGAACATCTCCAGTATTCAGAAGTATACAAAATGCTTCAAGAAGAAGAACCTGCCCGTCCTAGAGGAATAGCTGCGAGACCAGAAAAAATTCCTGCTGTCCAGGATTACTACCAGGTAGCAAACTATTGTTCCCAATCTATTTTTAAAGATGAGGCAGGAATATTTATTAAGTTAAGTTTACTCAAGATAGTAAATATAGTATATACTCAGTAGTGGAGTTCTTTGTGATATTAGCACAGCATTTTCTAAAACCTAAGAGAAGAGAAATAGTTCCAAATATTTTTTAAAGGTACTCGGTCCATCAAGCAAATATTATCGCAATTCGTTGTTTTGGCAGTATTTTCAGACATATTAATAAGCTGCTACAAGTGAACTTTTCCCACCTACAGATCTCGGCCGATACACTGAGTGTCCTGAAAGTTGGGAATTTCCTTTTTAGAAACAACCTGGTTTCTGATAACAAAGCTAATGTGTGGTGAAACAACAGCGAAAAAGTAAAAAATAATAGTGAAGATGTGCTCACCATTCATCTAAAGGAAATTTCAAGTTCAGCTCTGTTACTTGTAAGTACTGTTCAAAGTTTTCTGCGATAGATCCAAAGCCACATGTATATGCTCGATATGGCCAAGCATCGGTGAATACTTTTAGAATGGATTGCGTTCGCAAACGAATGCAGCAGATTGCTAAATCCGTACACGTAGCTCCTCAGCCGTGTTAACCTCAGTTTTATTCGTTCCAATAAAAAAAAATCACGAAGCATCTTTAAGAACGATTTGAATGCACTCGCGAAGCTTCGGTAGCATTTCGAAAACACACGTAAAAATTAAATTATATTGCTTGTATTTAATTTTACTCCAATTTTTCTGTAAGAGTGTGCATTTTTTTATCTTAGAACCGATGTGTAAAGGTTTTATTTATAAACGCGCCCAGCGCCTGGATTGAGTACTGATCCGCATCGCACGTGTTCATGTTTGATCTGATGCAGGACAGGATTCGGTTTTGTATGGTTTGATTTATTTTGGTCTAACATCTCGGTAATCTTAAGGCTTTGGTGTACACGTTACTAGAAAAAACTGCTTATTTTTTCCAAGATCTATACGCCATGTGAAGGAAAGTTCCAACTTTGAAGACACCATGTCAGCCAGAGTACTCGTATGTATCATCTATTTGTATGATCCACAAATCATGTTTGTTTTGACGAGGAGTAAATTTGTGTTGAATAGGGTATACATGATTTAAATTAAGAAATTGTCGATTCTTCACCCGCCAAAAGCGTAGGCTAGGACTCGATAACTAAAATATTTTATTTTCTGAATCAATTTATTATATTATGAAATGACAAAATCATGAAGGAGGTAGGAAGAGTTAGCTTGTTTTCAAAAAAGATATTCTTCAATAAGTAATATCACTATTTTTTTCCTTACAGGCGAGTCAAGAGGCGCCGTAATTCGGTAGAAATTTTGTATGATACGATATTTTTTTGTTATGTATAGTTAAAAAAGTGACGCGTGGTAATAAAAGTTGGAGGCTAGATATTTAAATGCGTGTTTTATTCATGCATATTTGGCAACCTAGTTGCAAACTACCTACTTGAAAACTTTATATCAGTAATAGTAGTATCAATATACAGGGTGGTGCATCGAAAACGAAACAGACGCATTTACTGGCAGCTCAGTTCCTTTTTTGTAAAAACGCTCAGACCGTCGATTTTTTTTTCGACGGGGACACAAGTTTGGCAAAAAATCACGTTAACACGTGCCTGGGCGGGGATGACACCAACCCTAAAATCTTAAATGGAAAAGGGGGTCGAGTGATACCTTATTTTAAAGGTCTTTCAATTCCCTTTATAATGATGTAAAATACATGAGCTTCAGTTCAGTAGTTTTGATGATTTATTGATTTAAAGGTTGAAGTAGACTTTAATATGTATATCAGATTAGTTTGTACTACTTTCAGAATAAATTTGACTAAAAGAATTTACTTAATAAATAAATGCTTTTCTTAACTACGCCCATGGTTTGTTTATCATTTTGTTGTTGAAAATAGCTATTGGAGCGTTTTTTTGTGGCAAAAAAATATTTCTTGAAGAATGGTAGGGAAATATCTCGTACTTATTTTAAATAGGAATTTAGTACATAGTTTGCGATTGATTTGACCATACTTTGTTGCTAAAATAACTTGTAACGCTTTATTACAAAAATTAACCATGGTATATTCCACAGCAGAAAGAGTTGAAATTATCGAAACATTTTTCGGAAATAATCAGTGCGCTAATAGAACAGCAGAAATATTTAATGAGCGACATGAGAACAGTAACGTGCATCGAAAATATGTTCTAGAACTTGTAGCTAAATTTCGGGACACTGGGTCAGTCGCCAATAAAAAACGCAACATTGAAAATCCCAGAAGGAACGAAGCAATAGAAGTGGGGGTTTTAGGGCAAGTTCATGTAGATCCTACGTTAAGCACCCGCAAATTGGAGACTGTGTTTGGTGTTAGTCGACGTACTGTCCAACGGATTCTAAAGGCCCATAGTTTTCATCCGTACAAAATTCATCTGGTACAAGAACTTAATGAAGACGATTTTGATCGGGGATTACAATTATGTGAAGATATGAGTGAGCGAATTATAAACGATGAACATTTTCTATTCAACACTTGCTTTTCCGACGAATGTTCCTTTTTCTTAAATGGCGTAGTAAATCGTCATAACTGCCGATATTGGTCCGATTCTAATCCCAGAATTTATCATGAGGTTCATACACAGCAGCCACAAAAATTAAATGTTTGTGCTGGTATTTTTGGCGATCATTTAGTTGGTCCTTTTTTCTTACCTGGAAATTTGTCCGGTGAAATGTATTTGGAATTACGCCATATATCCTGCATTAACAGCCATTATTGAATATCAGAATGATCGGCGGTACATTGCGAATAGGTTGATGTTCCAACAGAATGGTGTCCCACATCATTACGCATTACGTGTTCGACAATATTTAGATCAGACGTTTCCAGATCGATGGATTTTGAATGGCCCCCAAGATTGCCAGATTTATCACCTTTGGATTTCTTTTTGTGGGGTCATTTAAAAAGCAAAATGTATGCTACTCACCCAACATCATTAGAAGACCTGCGACAAAGAATTGTTAATGAGTGCATTCAAATTACTCCTCAAATATCGCAAAATGTGCAGCAACGTTTTGAACAAAATCTTTATTATTGCATGGAGAGTCATGGTGGCCATTTTCAACATTTACTTGCCTAACGGGTCAGTTCATTCTTCATTTTTAAATTACTTTGCTGCCAAATGTATTGATCTCCACTAATGATGATGTATTAGTTTTATTTAAGCTTTAAATCAATAAATCTTCAAAACTACTGAACTGAAGTACATTAAGTTTATATCATTATAAAGGGAATTGAAAGATCTTTAAATATCACTCGACCCCCCTTCCCATTTAAGATTTTGGGGGTGGTGTCACCCCCGCTTTGGGGGCTGCACGTGCTAACGTGATTCTTTGCCAAACTTGTGTCCCCCTCGAAAACAAAATCGACGGGTCTGAGCGTTTTTCCAAAAAAAAACTGAGCTGCCAGTAAATGCGTCTATTTCGTTTTCGATGCGCCACCCTGTATAATAATCTCAGATAATGCTTGTTTTCATATAATTATTAAGACACTGGCAGAACTGAACTATTTGTCAAAGGTAATTGAACACAAAAAGATTCCTAACTCCATATGGTTATGCTTGATTCCGAGGAAGATTGATGTGGATTTCAAAGGCGCTCATTTTCATGAAAAGTATCCCTTTTCTCAATTTAGAGAGAGAGAGAGACGTCTGAATCTCACATTCATAATTTCTCAGCGACATTTATCTAGCAATGGTTTCTTCTTCTTCTCTGTGTTTTAAAACCTATAACTTCGGAACAAAGTAAAAGTAACGCCAGTCTGTTTAAAATAAGAAATGTGCACATGAAACATTTGGTGCGTTCGCCAACATATCTATCTTACCTTTGATGTGATCAGCAAAAGTTTAGTCAGTTAATAGTAAATAATATTTGCTATCACGATATGGTTAATTGTGAGACTAGCAGCTTGCTAAACTTCGCCGTATGGGACTTATTAACTGATATACTGAGTACCGATGAAGCGCCCTCACCACATCAACGCATATGCAACCAGAGTTACGCTGCGGTACATCAAAAGCGGTCTAGCTTGCAGCCAGGATACATGAGTGTTCGCGACGTCATCGGAATTGTGCGACAGTCATCGGGAAGCATCTGCTGCCATCGAGAAGCATCGATCTACGTCTGGATAACTTTGATGGAGCGCTGGAAGGGTCTGGATTTGCCAATTTGAACATAAAAGATGCTGCGCCGACTTCGGAATGGTGAGCCGAGTAGTGGACGGCGCAAAACACGATATTCCAGTCGACACGGTTATAAGTTTGTCATAAAAGAGTTACAAGTGTTGTTATAAATTAGTGTAAGGGTAATAAATTGGACTTTGAACAGTAAAAACGGTGTTTTTGTTACAATATAGACGTACGAGTATATTCTAAAAAATGGTTCTGTTTCCAAATATTGCATTTCCCTTGACATCCCCCTCATCGGCCCTTTGGATGCGTTTTTGCTAGACATGAGGTGTAGTGCAGTGAACTAACAACCTGCATACCACAACTTACATTCTGTCTTGAATTCTCCAAGGTTCGGAAGCACAACTCGAATTCTCTAAAGTAATTTCTTCAATTAGAATCAATTCAGCAGATTTGCGATCATTGTTAGATTATAGAGGTACTGAGGGTTTTACCGTACGGCGTCTAATTTCGTACAGTCAAGCTTGGCAGCAACAGTATGATCTGTGTTTTTGCGATTGTGGATATAATATTTTACCATCCAAAACTTAATTATAAGTACTTTAATATGTGAATACCTGTTGTTTATAGTGTTAAAATAGTTGAACAACATTGCTTTTGAATGAAATTAGTTGGTTTCATTGCAATATTGCCATCCGCTTTCACATGATTCTGTTTAAATATGGAGGACAGTATATCGGCAAAGTGCGTACCACGATAATGGTAAAATTGTTCCAGTAAATGATTTTATTATTTTGACCCTCAGACCTTTGATATCAGGAAATAAAAAGGTTTATGATTTATGTATATACCAGTGGCGAAGCGTCATTGTAACCATTGTTACCATTGGTAACAGTTTAAAATCTTAAAAATAAATATTTCATGACTAAGTACTGTGAAATAATTTCATTTAATTGTTTACCAACAGCGGTATGTAATAGTAATTCAGTAAATAGCAAATTAGCCCCACGAAAATAATGCGCCCTATAATGTCTATGTTTTGCAAACACGATGAAGCTGACTTGCCTCGCCTTGGTTGTCGGTTCGGTTGTTACCATTTTCATTTATGGATACACTTGGTAGTCCGTCGGGGACCGTCGGTACCGGCTCGTGTCTGATCGCGGTCGCCTGAGTGCGTGGAGCGCTGCGACTACTATGTGGGCTTGTTACCATTTTTTTATTTGGTTACTCACTTCTTACTCGTTAGCAGCCGTTTTGGTTACTAGCTGTAGTGTGCATGCAATTAAACACTACTAAGCATTACTTGAAAATTCATTCCCCTTGTATAATTTTTAAGAAAAAAAAGGATAACATTGAAAATGAAGACCAACACCTACTTTAGATGATTTTAAAATGGAATAAAAAAAACGTACTTTGATATTTTAAATTAAGTTGGTACATGGAAACTCTTGGTTATGTGGTTGCAAAAAAACAGATTGTATTGTTGGCTATGTCTTTTTTATACAGAAAAAAATGGGTGGACCAGCAGCGGAGTCAACGATTGAAATAGTTTTAGGGCTCTAAAGAGGAGACATGAAATTTCTCCGTTACATGTGAGATGTGTAGCCAATTGAAGTCAGTTTGGCAAAACAAGAATCGAAAGTTGTCTTAAACAAGCTTTTAGGCTGCACACTTCTAGATACCGTATGTTTTTTGGCAATACAGGAATTACCGTTCATTTTGAAGGGGATGACTCTGACAATCGACGAAATTACAGGGAATTGTTAACATTCATTGCCAAAAAAGATCAAACATTTTCCGAACATCTAGAAACGTCGACTGTTTTTTCGGACGGCTTGGATTAGTCATAGCATAAGACGATTAGGCATATCAAGTGCCCCAGACGCTCAGTCCAGGAATGTTTACCTTAATTTGAAAACAGTTTAAATAAAATAGCTAAAATAAGCAATAAATTATATTATATATTATAAACTTTTTTTAATGCGATTTTTCACATCTGGTTTTGGTAACAGTCTAGGAAAAGTCACGCGTCGCCACTGGTACACACGTCTGTACGAAATTAGACAATTACCTGTACGGAGTTACCCGCTTAATTCGGTTAATTCCGTACAAAGACTGTTTTCAATTGGAGTGCTTCATCTGGTATAATTGTAGATTTTATTTTCTGTCGTTAAGCATATATAAGATAGGCATAATTAGTAGTAAACTAAAACTAATAATTTTCTTTTTTGATGGATACTTGTGTAACTTGTGCTAGGCAATACCCTACCTTCCCCTACTGCACTCAAAATGAGCTAAGAAACAACCGTGATAAGTTATTCTTCCGTTGAGAATTTCCAAATATATCTTGAACCGTTATTGTACAACCAAACTTCAGGACAAAATTTGTAGAGAATTTTATTCATCCTAATAAATAATTTACAATAAATAAAAAGCTAACGCGGAACGCTTTCCAAGCTTACGTACTAATATGGCGTTTATTCGACAGTCACGAGTGTCTCTTGTTTCCCTGAATTTTCCCCTACCACCGGTGGACTCAGTCCACCTCTTGCTGCTGGTTTTGGCTCTGTTGCTTCGTTCTGTTGTTGAGCCTGAGATTGTTGAGCCTGTTGCTGTTGATTTTCTGCGATTGCATCGGGCTTGGCAGAGCTTTCAGGCGTTTTGGAAGCTTCAGTGGAAGGCTGTTGTTGTTGACCTGGTGTTAGTTGCTGGATTTGACTTCCTATGTTTTGGATACCTGGAATTTGAGTGAAGACAACGCTTTGGCAACGGAATGTGATTTTCAACAAGGTATCATATCCATATTTTTTTTCAGTAGAATGTTCTGACAATTATGGTGCATGAACACCCTTATTTTTTAAATATGGTGAATGTGCTGGAATAATGCGTCCCCGTTCATATGGAATCCTAATCAAATTGGCTGAAATTTTAACATGTTGGCTTCGACACCATTCTAATCAAGCTTCAAAGGACATACGGCCCTAGTTTCAATGGCTTTCAAGTTACAGGCAGCACAAGCATAGTAAATTCGGAAAATTGATGACGTTAGACAAGACATCACCGTGATTTCTTTGGTTATTTATTAGAATATCCATTATTGAGCAGGTAAAATCGAAAAATAGAAAGTCATAACTTACTTTTGAAACTTCTCTGTGCACGTGTACCACAATTTTACTCTGCTTAAAGCTTAAAGATGCTCTATATGTGTACGAAATAAACATACTAGGTCTGTAAATTAAGTGATGAGACAGGCAACGTAAAGTTCGATCTGGTAGCACTGGAGGGGAGACAGAGGAACACGCGATCCGCGTTCGGTACAAGTTTGAACTCTCAGACTTAGAAAGTAAAACGGAAACTCTTGTTGAACTTCAGAGGGCTGACGAGTCAATTGACGATGAACCGCGAAAATATCGACGAAATCCAGGATCTTGTGAGTTCAGGTGGTCAGTTGACAATCAGAATGATCGGAGAAGAGTTAAATTTGACTTACGCCACCGTTCATCAGATCAAAAACAACTGGTTGTCACATCACGATAATGCTCCGTGAAATGTCAATAAACGAGGTTGTGGCCAGTAATCACATTCATAGGGCTTCTCAGCCTCCTTATTCGCCCGACTTGAGTTTTTGTGATATTTTTCTCTTCCCGAAGTTGAAAAATTAACCCAATGGAACGCATTTTTGGAGACGGCTATAACCAACCAACTGAAGACTATTCCAGTATCGGAGCACTGCTAAGGATTGTAAGAACCATCTCCAGAGCTGTATGGCTTCAGAGTGGAGTTATTTTGAGAATGACGATATCAAATTGTGATTATATTTGAGAAAAAAACTCAAAAATCTATCTCGTCACTTAATTTCCAAACCTCGTAAAAATTATTTTTACATGGAAAGCATCGAGTCAATATTCTAAGGCTACTAGGGAGATACGACTTGATTTATCTCTTCACAAAATATACGATACTTGTAGCTACATGAGCTGACGTACCTTGTTGAATGCCCTCCGCAGGATTTTGGCCCTGAGTTCCCGGTATTTGAGGTAGTTGCGGCAGACCTCCCTGAGCTCCTTGCTGACCGCCCTGACCTCCTTGCTGTCCTGGTCTGAATGGATTGAATTGCTGGATGGCATTTCCGATATTCTGGCCAATTGTTTGGACGAAGTTGGTGTTGTTTCCACCCGTAGCTTCATCACCAGGAGCACCTGGAGGCCTGTTGTTCTGGATAAAGTTACTTATGGCCGTTCCTAGGATATAATTCGACATCAATCAGTGATCGACTGCTTGTTCTAGCGCAACTGCAGTTGACTTTTAACAAATTAAAAGTGGAAAAGAATCAAATTGTTGATAGTTTTCCTAGTTTAGCCTCCCATTAAAGTGTAAATTTGGAATAATGCTCTATTTAACTTAAGAATCCATACCTATTTGTTGTATGCCAGTCTGAATTGGTCCCTGGTTAGATGATGTGGCGTTGGTTCCAGGATCACCTAGAAATGAGTTTGAAGGTATGAAATATTGGTTTTATACTCGTATACGGACTCAGCTTACGAAATATTGAGCAAAGATTCAAGGAAAGATCGTTCAGACAATTTTTGCCTTTGACGAGTTTATACATAGTTATACAAAGCGAACAAGACTGTTGAGAATTTTTTTATTATTGAACAATTGCCTTACGGCTTTGGTATGAAAAAAAACATGTTCCATATAACTAGGTTCCAGCTAGACTACAAAACTACAATCTCCATGTCAAAGATGGAGATCGCTGGAAACTTCGATATTTTACTCCTACATGGCTACCCAGAGTTGTTAATTAAGACAACTCCAGTGAAAAATTGGATATCGCTGGATGTAAATTTTCCTAGTAATAATTCCATTCCCACAAGAGTCCATTACTAGTTAAAATACAAAAAAAAATGTTTGAAACTAGCTAAAGTAAGTAGTCATGAAAGCTATATGTTGGGAACACAGTAATATAAGTGGCAGAATTTGACGTCTAGTTTTGTATTTTTTAAGTTTAAGGCTCCAGTGGATAAATAAATCAAATTAATATTCTGAAGTTTAGTAATGAGTATAGTTTTCCACGCAATTATAGAAAAGTATTGTGTGCATTCATGCAAAATACCTTGTGTTCCACCTGGTGCTTGGCCACTGCCTTGTATCTGTCCAATAAATGTCTGGACTCCTTGTTGGATGTTATTCACAAAGTTGCCAAAAATTCCTTGTGATTCTGTACTGGGTGAATCGCCTAAAACCGTGTTTGACGTTGTGGAGCTTTGCCCTAGGTTGTTTATTGAATTTGATATAGTTTGGATACCTGAAACAACATTTCAATCATGTCAAAAAATTATGTCAAGTAGATTGACTGGATACTTCTCACAAAATGCAGCTTATCGTGCAGTAAATAGCTACAGTTTTTACAGCCAAACGGAAACTACATTATTTAAATAGTTTTTTATGACCAGAAATGGTTTAAAGATGAACATCAACCCATTCTGAATCCGTAAAATTGTAACTCAATACAAATATGTTGCAAATAAGCTTCATGAGCTATTATGAGGTTTTTTCCATTGAAGATTTTCAATATAAAGCTTCGTTTTGGAGATATGGGTATGCTCTTAACTCTCACCAATGAAATTAGACTTTTCTTCAGTAAGTTTTTAAATGGGCCTGTATGATCCAACAAAATTTTGACAGCTCAGTAAAGAACTGAAGCCTGACATGATGTTGTCAATATAAAACAATTAAGTTGTTTGGAATGCCAGGGATGAACTGGCATTTAATTAATGGTCTAAAAATGGTATACTTGGAAAGCACTATCATTCAGCTAAAAAAATGTACTCTTGTTGGATTGTTTTTGAAAAAAATGACCCCTAAAAATAAGACACCATAAAGTATCGCAGTATTTAAATAAGACCATTTTTCTCTAAAACGAAACAATCTCAAACAAGAAAACATTATTTTTGGCTAGAACACAAAAAAACTAGCAATATTACGTTGGGGCTAATTCGCCCATGGTAAACTAAACCATCATGTGATGCCTTGGCGAGTTACCATATTATCAAAGCTTCGATAGATTTTATTTCAAAATACATTCAAGAAATAACTATTTCAAATTACAGTCTTTAAGAGCCTGTATCTCCGAAAAGTTTAGACAAAGGATAAAACCTTAGAATCTCCCTTGTCAAATGCTTTAGAAACACCCTGTTGATTATTGTGCTTTGGAAGAAGTCTAATTTAACAGTCAAATCAGTAAATTATTCATTCTATCAGTTAGCTTAGCAATATACCTCCTTGGAAAAAGCTGACGAATCCTTGCCATCCTCCAGGACTACTACCGCTACCACCTGCCTCATCGGAAGAAGTGGAGTTGCTTGCACCTGGGGCACCTTGGATGCTTTGAACAAAATTATTAGCAATGGTTTGGAACCCATTCGCTAAATTAGCGAAGAAGTTTTGACTTGTCGTATTCGTAGACTGTTTCAAAGAGAGTTTCGTCTTTTGTTCATCGAAATATTCGTCCACAGCTTTCTCTAGTTCAGCCCATTGCTGAAGGTTTAATGAAATTTGTCCCTTATCAGGCTTAAAGTCCTTGATTCTATTAAGGCCGCTGGATACGATGTCACGGGCTTGCTTGATCACGTTCTGGAGTTCGTCTAGCTGACTATGGCTGCCGGAGCTGCTGCCACCTAGCTGCTTAAGGCTAATTCTGTCTTCTGGTGCTGGCAGATGCTTTAAAGCTTCTTTTTGCTCCTTGGTGGATAGTTGGGGTTTTTCTTCCAGATTTTTTATTGGACTCGAAGCGGGAAGAATCTCTGCATTTTGTTCTGGAAGATTGGTCGTTTTCTCTGGTTGTACCGAAGATATTTCTTCTTTCAAGGTCTCCTGCAAAAATAATTTGATACAGACAAAGAAAGAAAGGAAGTTTTTCGCTTTGAGGTTCATTTGCATTATCATACATCTAAATTCAATGAACTTGTTGAAAAAAAAGTACTCACTTTCAACACGCATCTGCGTGCAGCAAGTAGGACTTTTCCCCACGCATAACATTGCTACTGTACGCAGATGCGTGTTGAAAGTGGGTACTTTCCGCACGCTGCGATTGTGCAAGAAATCTCCGCTTCACGTCGTTTGTGCAACTGCCGACGCGTACGGAAAAGTATCACCTACCGCACTTGTTAAATAAACAACCATTTTCTTCTGAGGAATCTTCATTTTATTCTATACTTACACTGGAGGAAGACCACGCTTCCGACATAGTTACAACGTATGTGATACGTATATTTTCAGTTTATTGATATATGTGAATCAAAAAAGAAGATGCCAAAATTTCTAAAATTTTGTGCTTTCTGAAGAAATGTTTTCACACGTTCTAAAGTTATCATGGACTTGAAAAACAGTCAAAGTTTAGAAATTCTTGACACTTCCAAGAGTAAAAGACGTGCAAAACTATTCAAGTAGTTCTAAGTCATACAAAACCGAAGTTATTGTCACTGTTATCTAAATTTTATCAAAATCGATTCAATCGTTGTCAAACTTACACGGTTAGACAAACGTCCAGCAAATATTTCGCGATTACAATACTTCCTTGTGCAATCAAAAGATTTCGAAAAATGTTTACGATAACAATACTTATCTCGCTTACGCGTCGAAAGTAACATTGTTTAAACGACGAAGTATATTTTGTATAATTACTTATCATTCATTTGGTTACCCTGCGAAATCCAGTATGTTGATGTAAATATAGAGTACAGCTTAACTCAGCAATAAATCCAATTTTAAGTTGATCGCGTATGCATTTTACAGTCTTAAAAACAATTTTCCTTTTATTATAGTACATGATTTTTTTTAAATCCCAATTTTTTGTCCAAAACTAATCCATCGTCAATATCTTCATATATACTTTAAATCCATAATAACCCACATCAAGACTATATAAAAATGAAACTTTTGCTCCACTGCGCACACATTAAAAACAAAAGTTGAGTTGTCTTATAATTGTGTATTGATTTGTTCCAACTTTTGTTAAATATTGGAAAATGGACGAATTTCGGACAAATATTTCACTTTGGGCTTTTAAAAGGGTGATTCTGCACTTTCCGTACAACACTGTCATCAATGCATAAAGGATTATGTTCCGACCAACTTAGTTCCTTTGAGGTAGCTACAAATATGTATCAAGAAAATTAGATAGGTGAGGTCAACCAAACAGGCCCATATACAATTAGTACATACTACATAGTCTCCATCCATTTCATAACGCTAAGTCCTAGGTCCTAAGTATCGACCATCTTACGACACTGATTGAGCACACCATTCAAACAAGTCATAAGCGCCAGCCTCGATACTATAACATCCCTGCCTGCAATGTTGTTGCAGTTGCATCGCATCGACCCGACTGAATGCGTGTCTCGTCTATACATATTTCTCTGTTATAAGGGCAAATGTACGGGAAAATCTTTTTTGTACTGATTTTCAACCCTTACAGAAAATTTTCTCAGGAGTCTCTGAAACGTCAGAAGACGAAGTTTGAACAGCTCTTATTTTTTTCGTGTCTTGTTTCTAGCTTTGCCGCCACTGAACCGATTTTCAAAACATTCAAAGCTTTTTCGTCTTTGGCGTAGTAGTAACCTTGTGCAAAAAATCATCCAAATCCGAGCAGTACTTTAGTTATAGGTGGTTCAAGGATCAGCGGACAGGCAGACCGACGGAAACAAGTGACACGGTTTTTCGTAATATACAAGTCATATAACATCCAAAAAACATATCTCATTTTCGAAGTTTTTCGCGATGACAACACTTTCTAGTAGGCGTGTAAAGTGAAAACCGTCAAGTACTGAAATAAAAAGAAAAATGTTGACAGAAGTTTAGTATGCATATGTTCTAAATTATTTAAACACAAAAACTTCATAGATGCGATCAACTAGAAATTTGAGTTATTTTCTGGGCCAAAAACGCTGCTTGCAGACCCTCTTCCTTTGAAAAATATCTGAAACTGTTTTTTTCACAAACTGAATGAACGCTTTGAATCCTAATTTAGATTTTACTGAACTTGTGAGCTGTCTCTTCATGAACTATTCGGCTCTGTTTTTTTTTCACAGTCAGACACCACCAGAAAACCTCAATATTGTCATATCAAATATTTGAATAGTGTATGAGGTATTCAATTTTAAAACGTTTGAATGGTCTGATAAATCAAAAGAATGCAGACACAATAAACTAAATTATTTATTTGTAAATATGAAATATATTCCTATTTATTCGGGTAAATGAATCTTCTGGAATGATTACACTCTTAGCTTATAAATTACAGTTGTACTGAATCACTAATTATGAAAAAATTAACTACGATCAGTAACATTTATTTACTCAATGTGCAAACAAAACAGAGTTAGGCATTGTCTGAACATTAGATCAATTTCATGCTGCAACTGTAGAATACAAGTCAAAAAATTAACCAAATTTCTCTTGAAGTAATATCTGAAATCTTTAGGTAAACTTTCATAAAACGTTGTCGTTGACCGCTGTGTGATAGATTTATGTCTTAGGAACTACTGTACCACCTATTTTGTACCTTGTATAATGACTATATTTAATTCTCTGATCGGTGTTGATATGTTTATGGTAGTGTGGTATGGAAGTGATAGTGTGCAAAAAATAAAGCATATATATATACATCTGTGAATAATTCTTTAGTGGGATGAACTTTTGGTTTGTTTCACAGTATCAACGGTTTGAAAAATGTGAGTGATGAACCCTGCACCTCTCACTCCATCCACTTGTTATTTGTGGAAAAAGCAAGCCAAGCAACCTATTCAACTCACCTGTGCCAACGAATCCCTAACGCTCCCCAGATCCTCAGTAACCGTAGCAATGATAGCCTGAGCGGGTGCCCCATCCTGCTGACCCTTCGCCTTCTGCAGGATTTCCTCCCTGCCGCACCCGATCTCCTGCAGATCACCTTCCTGCTGGGGCGCGTTTTCTTTTTGAAGCGCGCTTTCCTGCTGCTGTAGGTCCTTTCCGGTGATTTCTTCGTACCGAACCTCGACAGGAATATTCCGGGGCAGCCTGGCCGTTCGGGCCACGGCTAAGGAGACGCTCAGCAGGACTAAACTTTTTATCAACATGACTATGGACGATGGACTGGAGCTGATGAACTCTTCGGCTCGGTTTTATAGCGACGCTCTTAGGTCTTCGGCACAGTGGCAGCAGGTGCAGGGAAACGGGCTTTTGGTTATAAAAATCACCGTTGGAGACGATACTTCTGATGAGCTTGATCGTCTTTCTTACAGGAATACATGTTTCTACGAAGGGTCGCTCTTATTATTAACACGCTTGTATTGTAGCTTGACCTGTATGTATGTACCTGAAAATTTCAACACAATTTTCACCAATTTCTAGAATTTGCACAGGGGTTAAGGTCCGATGACAACACAATATTCTTGGACAAAAAATCGATTTTGAGAATTTAGGCAGCAGCGGTGGCCGCAGTAGTAGACTCTTCTGTCTCCTGATCAGTCGCCGCACGCTGTGCGGGTTCGAATCCCGTCCCAGAAGGAATTTTTCTCTTGGCTATGGATGTTGCGATTGTCTGTAGGTGGTAGACGGTCTCTGACTGTCGAACGCGTAGGTACCACCCGGCGGATCTCGTAGGCGGGGCCACGTTGCATGCACACGTATTCCCTCGCCAGAGTCCGTGTGGAATTCCCCCTTTCCCCTGTATCCCCCTATAGCCCCACGGTACCCCATGGGTGTTTAGGCCTTAGGCCTTCGTGGTGGTTGGAGTATAAAAAAAACAATATGCTTGGAAAAAAATCTCTTTTGAGAGTTTTTAAAAATGTTTAATGTTGAAATTTGGAAAAAAAAATTCGGAAAATAATTGAATATTTCAGAAATTTGGAAAATAATTTAAAAATTTGGGAAATTTGAAAAAATCTGGAAATTTTGAAATCTGAAAAAGACGATGTTCTTGATTATATGTTTATAACTACTTCTGTTTTAAGACAAAAAATCCTGAAATTATACTATAGCTTAAAAATCTAAAAAAATACATTCTGTAATAGCAAATCGAGCTAAAAATCAAAAAATAATTTACAAGTATAGCAGAGTTTGTGTTACGGCAATAGAAAGACCAACAATTAAGTATGACTAATTAATTTGGAATGAGATCAATATAATAATTTAGTTATTAACAAAAAAATTTATTTTAGTTAAAAAAGCATAGGATGCATATATATATATTCTCATAATAACTAAAATTTTGTGAATAGCAACCAAAAGAAAAAATTCTAACATTTAATATCAAGCTCCCAAGCTTTTTTACAATAAATGAATTTTTTGTTAATATTTTAATTCATACATTGATCTTATTTTAGTTCGGTGTGCTATTAAAGCGTGTTTTTTGGATTTTCAAAGCTATAATTTATTTCATCAGCAATGCCACTTTTAGGTGAAAAATGCATCTAGCTAAAATTAGGGACTACTGGAATTTGATGCATAAAGAACATTAGCTGATCTTACTAGAGACTAATTCTAAAATAGTTTACATGCAGGAAAGTACCCAAAAATGGACAGCAATTTTGTTATTACTAGTATGAATTTATAAAAATATGAAAATAGTCTGTTTTAAAATCGTTCGATTTAGTTTCTTGTTGTTGCTGATTATAATTGAAAACAGTAACTTCAAAAAACCTCACATATCTGATTTGAAAAAACCAACAGTAGAAATTGTCATTCATATATTAACGTCTTATTTTTGAGCAAGGATACAGATTACTTACACTGAGTGCTTAAGAGAAATGCGGCAATATTTCTAGAGCATAAGAGAGATAAAAAAATAAGACGAAATGTTCATATAAATGGGAGTCCCCTTACCAAGATACTGACTGTTGAAATTATAATTTCGAAATCGGAAATAAATTACAGTGGATTAAGATATTGACTTAAATTTGTAAACATAGTACTAACAGCATAATCAATAGATACAAAAGCTATAGTGCCTAAAACTATACCGACGGCGTAAACAATGGGAAAAATTGACCCCACACAGAAGAAAAAAGATAACTATTTTCTACATTTTTGAATAAGGTATTCAGTTTTATATGGGTCGCCTTTGTTGAGGAAAGGTCCCATGACTGTCCATTACGGAAGCAATCAGTTCTGAACAGCATCGAGCATGGATAATGTAGTTGGGGCGGAAGCCCCTAAACATGTGAACATTACTCGATACTGATCTTATCTGGACCATTTACAGAGTGAGGAGGTTATGTGCAGAAAAGTAGTTCTTAGCCCTAAACAAATAGCCCAGCTGTTTTCCAGCAGCTGCCGCTATTGTGTTCGTTCTAGATGAAGTCTTCGATGATCTGAACTCCGACCAGCCGAAATGAAATCAAAACTGGATGAGGACTAGGGCGCTTCCTTGTTAGTCAAGAAGAGTATTGTGTTTTTGCCGCCATAAAGTCAGTCACCCATCTGCACAGCTCCTCTGCGAGGTCATAGGATGGAAGTTTGCATAAGAGGGCAGCCTACCACACTTGATGTTGATCAAGTATGGCTCCATAACGTAGGTAGTGTATTAGACGAGTACTCTTACCTCACTATAGCGTTATTTGAATAATATCCACGTTTTGCTCTTGTTTAGTATCATCAGATTGGCGTAGACGTTTTGGTATCTATACTTGTAGGAACTTGTTATTTTTGGACCTACTTCCTACTCCAGCAGTATTGCCACTTCTTGTCAATGACCCTGTTTGTCCCCTGACCCTGTAAATTTCTGAATAATTGTGAAAATTGCAGCACTGCGCCAAAACAATTTTCCACTATCAAAACACATAATCGTGGACAAGCAAGTAACATGGGACGCGAAGTGCTCATGTGCCACTGCAAAGTAGATACCTAAGCTACTATTAACACTTAACGATAATAGAATACCAGAGAATGCAGGACCAATGAAACCAGGAGTCCGCTTCAGGGGAGGAGTCCAGTTTATCGCACTTTCCTCTATTAACGCAATGTCATACTTCTTAAGCCGATCTTGAAGAAATTCAACTAACTCCAGCAGAAATCCGTTGAAAGAAATACGCCCAATATATTTTGCTTTCTGTAGAATAATTGAGACTAACATGTCGCCCACAAGAAAAGCCGTCCAATATTTAAGAAATGGTCAGTAGTCAATGGAAATCGATATTAAAAAGGTCTCTACTAACTTTTCTATGAAGTTGTTATTCTGGAATTTCTCAAAAAGGGGACCTCCAGATATTTCTAAACGAGGAAGATTAAAAACTGATGAACTTCAGTAGAGTAGTAGCTCGTATACCGGATTGAGAAAAAGTATAGTTAAATAGCAAACAAACGTTATCTACGCTTTCTATACAATACGTTAATGGGGGTACCTGCAACAGGTCTATCAGGATATAGATAATTTCTGCAGTACAACCTGCAAAATCCACAATCTCTTTGCACAATGGTATTTGGAAAAATTACTAGACTGACTGAAATGTTGAATCATAAATGATAAATCACGAAATAAAGGGTCCTCGAATTAATACGTCTCCTCAATATCTGTGAACTTCAAAAGCTTATTTGCATAGTAAATATACTCATACAAGGTCGGATTCCAAATATATTGGATTATAATTATGTGCATAGCGTACACATGCTCCTACGAAGGATTTATGAGTCTATGGAAAATAATACATATCCGTGTATGTTATCTCGGTGCATGTGCTTTCCTATGAAAACATTAGCTTATCAGATAAAATATTAACTAACCTGGGGCATGAGGCTGCAATTACCTTGTGATATTAACTAACTTTCTGATAGCATGTGGTGGTCTTCAGTTAAAAATGTCACATATTCTCATACCAAAAAATCGAACATACGCAAAAAGGTTATTCAATAGTAATACAGATACTATTACGACGAAATTTAAAAATCACCATTTGTATCGATGATTGCATATTTAGAAGTCAAATTAGCAGGATATATCTAAGTTAATGAATATCTGTTGAAATGGTGCTTTGCTTTTACGTATTTGTTTACAATAACTCATAATTTGTATATAATGTATTTGTTATTCATACTTATTATGATCAACTGTTGTTTACATCTCAGTGATTCGAGGATCGCGAGTGACATATGGTGTAGGATGCAGGATCTTAGACTACAATTTTCTTAAAGCTCATATTCCAATTCATTTTATTATATTCAAAAAGCATACATCACCTTATAAAAAGGTCTAAGCAAAACATTTTATCTTAATTCTACACCCAGTCAGCGACATAGCAGACAAAATAAATAAAGTCATTGACTTAGTAAAAATACATGAACCGTTTTGTTATGCTCTTTCACGAATGAAGTAAGGTAAGTGACGAAATTGCCCAGTATTTCTCTACGGTTTCGATTTTTATGTTTCAAGAATAACTGTTTTTGTCATGCTCGTGTTATTTAACTACTTAGTAAGAAAAAATAGAAGATTTGTTTACGCAGAGTCTTTGTCCTGGAAAATACAAATAACTATCGGAATATATATCTTGTATACTGAAAAGCTGCCGTCTGATGATAAATCAAATTAGATATTCAAAATCCTCAGCAATATAAATAAAAAAACTGAATCCTGCCTCACTTGCGGTTCGCTGCGGTGGGGTAAGAAGAGAAAATAAAAACGTTAAATCCACTTTTGGTCTCCGTGTTGAGTCTTTGTTTTTTGTTAAAAATTTATTTAGCATTAATTCTAAAATGTCAATTTTGTATAATTATTCATTTAAAAAAATATTTTTTAAATCAATTTTTTATAATTTTACATTTTTGTCTATTAAAATTACATCACTATGGATTTTGAGTAGTCATAAAATGATTTTTTAATTTCACCTTAAACATTTTTAAATGCGAACACTGTTTAATATCATTATTCAATTTATTGAATTCAAATACTCCCTATTGAAATACACATTTGCTAGTTATGCTGCTATCACAATTTTGCAGATGAAAATCTGCACTGTCCCTCTAGTTTCGAAGTTATGATAATGACTATTTTATTTAGTGATGTTTTCTAAATGTGGTCATAATAGATGTTTTAATTTGAAAATGAAATTGAGAACTTAATAACATATAAAATTGTTTACATTCAACCACTGTATTACGTCTAGACATATACATAGACTTTCTCCTGCCATATTTGTTCTTATTTAAAATAATAGTACTCATAGCTTTATTTTGTAGAATTTGTAATTTTGAAAATACGTTTTTATTGGCTGTAAATATGATGGTTGAACAATATAAAAAATGGAGCAAAATTATAGTGTTATGTACAATGTATCTTTTTTGATATTTTTGAAATAGTGTATTCATAATGATCTTGAAATAGTAGTTTACTATCCCAATACATACCCAGATACTTAAATAATTCGACTACTTCACCTTTTTCATCATTAATCATGAGCCTAATTGTATTGACATACATTTTGTTCTATTAGTGTTTAATTTAAGTTTATTAACATTTAACCAACTCATAATTTTTTAATATCACTATTTAACACTTCTGAGTCAGTGTCCAAATGTTTATGTGCTAGATACAACAATGTATCGTCCGTAAATAGTTGCCGTGTTCTGAAATGTCAAAAATATCATTTATATATAATAAACAGTAACGGACCTAATTTACTCCCCTGGGGCACTCCTACTCATATTTTCCAATATACAATTTTTTTTAAAACTGACCGGATCTCATAAAGATTCTGGAGGGTACCTTTGACATCCGATCTGTAAAGTGCTAAGCAAATATAATATCGATTTGAGCACATGAAAAATGGAATCAAGTAGAATAACTCTGACTTCGCGATGAAATAATGGTTACCATTACAATATTTCCTCGTGTGGAAGTTCAAAGACGACTATGCAATTTTTCCATCGACTTTTTTTCAATAAATTGCCCCCATAGGACCTCACGATTTCATTGACGATCATATTCTAATTTAGTGCTCCAAATTATCTTAGTGCGGAATATCAAGAAATAAGGACTCGGGTTTTTTTCGCCTTTTGCATACTAGTAACTCTATGTCATTGTCATCAAAATCCGAGTGGTATTAGCATCTAAAAAACATAATATCCTGTTGTCAAAAATGTTCTCGATTACAATACGTCCTCACGTGGAAAGTCAAAAACGACTATAAATTTTTTCCAACGACTTTTTTCAATAAATTGCCTCACGGTCTTTTGACGCCCACATTCTAATTTAGTGCTCCAAATTACCTAAGTGCGGAATATCACAAAATATGAGGACTCAAGTCTATCTACTTTTTCTTCGCCTTTGGCTTACTAGTCACTTTATGTTAAAAACTCATCAAAATCCGAGTGGTGTCAAAAAACATAATATCCTCTTTTCAAAAATGTTCACGATTGCAATACTTCCTCGCTAGGAAAGTGAAAGACGACTATAAAATTTTCTATCGACTTTTTAAACGAATTGCCTATTTCCATTGAGCTAAAGCTACTCGTATATACTTATTAGGTACTTATACGATTTCTACCATGTTTCTTTAGTAGCACAAAAATATTACATGATGTACGGTAGGTACACTTTTTGTAAGGTCTGGTATGATAATATCGTAACTGATATCACGTCTCTACTTATACACACGAATGGTTCTATGCATTTATGTCTTCCTGGATGAAGAAACCAATCACTGTTGTAGCATAGCGGTTTCTGCTGCACCTCCAAGCGCATCTTATCACTAGCGTGCCGCAAGTTGAAAAAATCTATAATAAATACGCTGGGAGAGATAGTTAATAACGGTTAGGTACCCTTGACCCCTTGCAGTTCTTTCTCTTGGCTGTTGTACGTCTCTTCTTGCCGATGCTCAGCATCACTGGACACCGCAGACCGGTTCTTCAGCGGAGATGTGACCATTGACCGAACCCATGCTGAATATCAGCGGTGTACCGTAAGGGGATCATTTCCAGGTCAAAACCGTATCAATATGCCGCAGCCAATAGAATTTTTATCATACAAATGAGGATAATCAGAACCATTTCCAAATGAAACCAAGAGAGTAATGTAGAGGTGTTTTTAAGCTCAACAATTTATTAACACTGACGGAAATTTATATCTATAACAATCTACTTTTATCTTTAACCATAAGGCAAAGTCTAGAAAAAAACGTCTTCATCCTCATTTACAATACTCGCAAAAGTCTTCTGCACATATACCCATCACAGACGCCAAATTCTACCGAAAAATGTCCACATTACTCAGCAAAGAAACTTTACAATGATTTACCTCGTCAGCATCTTCAACTGTCAATAAAAAGCATTCATAAATATATATGCGCAATGGAAGCATATAGTGTTGAACAGTTCTGTACTCTAGTGAAACCGTAAGTATTATCAATAGCTGTGCTAATGCATTATACAGGGTGTTCATTTGAAAAATTCCCACCACGGGCTTATCGAAAAACGCTGATTAAAAAAAACGCAGAGACACGTCAAAAGATTTATCAAGGGGGAAAGCTTTTCAACCAAAAACTACTTCACCACCTTTCACTCTCTGCTTCCCAAGATCATCCCCTGAAAAATGTTTAATGACAAGGTGTATCGAGTACTAGCTTGTTTAAAAGGTCTTTCGAAGTCCTTCATTTTTACGTTTGATGTTCTAAAATCGGGCAATTCGTTTTCAAGAAAATTAGTAAAATATTTATCTTAATTTGTTCAGAAAACGAAAACACACGAAAATAACACTTTTTATTTCAATAAGTGTTCAAAATGTTGCCCATTAGGGTTTGCCAAATTTACAATTCGTTTATAATTTAAAACGGAAGCTACCAACATAAACAGCAATTCGGAGGATTAAATGCAGCAACAACCAAATAACAACCCGATTTTTTTCCGCATTCGTTTCATCAACACAGATATCCTGGGCGAACTGTATTTATTATTATACCTGTTTAGTTATTTGTTGCTAAGGGAAAGAAAGAATTTAATTTGCTTTACCTTCCCCGGTAGCAAGAAATGTTCATTAAATATTTAGTGGATATTTGATAATATTTTTATCTTACTTAAATATTTGTTTTCTTAGACAAACATTTAATAAATATTTGTAATAGAATATTTTTATTAAATATTTATTCAATATATTTTAAATATTTCAAATACAATATTTCTTTTATAATATTCATTATTTACTTTTCAATCAATGGAAAATATTAAATCTCCAATATTGAGAAAATATTCATTAAATATTTTCGGCTACCGCGCATGTGCGTGTGATCCAAAGCGACCAACGGCATAATAGCAAGCCGGCCTGAGCCGACCCGTTTGCCGGCATCCATTTTGCTTGTGACTTTAACTATGATAGCGTCCTTCCTGTGTACCTCCAAGTGGTACATCATATGAGTGTTTTTTGTGGCAAAGGGAGAAGGATAAGTTTTTCGATTACATAGCTTAAGTTATCTGACTAGTAAACATTATTGAGCCAGTTGAGTATAAAGGTATTCACAAGACCATGAATAACCAGCCTTGAAGTGTAGCAGTTATTTGGTATTGGTGGATTTATCTGAGAATGGATTCGAAAATTATATTCATAACATCCCAATGAAAAGTCATAATTATAATCGCGACTTGATCGAGATACATCAAAAATGCTTTTTAAAATATCTCAGTATTATTACTAATTTAAAATTTTCAAATTCAACAGCGACGTTCCAAAATGTTAACAGTTGAAAATACTATATTTCTATCCCTTGAGTTATAATATAAAATCACAAAATAGTTATGGCTGAATTAGCCCCCTTACTAAAGAAAGTCACATTTCAACAAAATCAATAAGTGGTCTATTTTCTAAAGCCTTTTCTTTAAAAGTTAGTTAAAAGACCAAGTTGTGCCTATGGACATTTTTCATCAGTAGAATATCTAAAATAACATACCAAATTTTCTTCAAAAATAACCAAACCTCGAGCTATCGTAGGCAGAAAATGTGGGGTCCTTTTAGGTGCATTTCAGAGCTGCTTTTCAGTGACCCAGTTGAGCTACTCGGAGTAACTCAGCAGTGCTTCAGCACCAA